GGCCAGGCTTCGACTTGAGTAATTCTTTCTGAATCTATGATGCCATTTCTCCAGATCTATTCACTTTTCTAACAAGAACGAGTCTCAGTGGTTCCTACTTACATGACCCAAAACTAGTACAGAAGAGAAAAAAGAGGGCAAATCCACTTTGATAAGTGGGCTGAACAAAAGCGTTTTTCCTCTGCCTCTGCTGATGTGAGGAAAGCCACATGGTTCCCCTCATCAGCACTTCCTCTGCAAGCTGAGGGAAGATGCCCACGACCCAAGTCCCCTGGAATGGGAGATGCCACGAGGTCTGAAGATTATACCTACCTCTTGGGTGGTCAAGACTCTATAGAGCTCCTCTGGTGATGTCAGGAAGGTTTCTCTAAGGGTGATCTTACAAGTGGGGATTTTGACACCAACAGGTCTGGTCTGGGTTTTTGAAGGAGCAGACTTATTAGCCTGTGGAAACGGCAGTGAAAACTGTCAATTTAGAGTCATGGTGATACCTCGATTAACATGGCTCTAAAGATAGACCTGCCATAATCCTCACAAACTTTTTCACCTCGAAGGCTAACTATTCCAGGGGATTGGAGGAAATTTGTGTGTATGGGTGTTTCAGTCATGGGGGAAACTTTCCCAGAAAATCCTCAATTCCCACTGAAAACCACCACTCGAGGTAAAGGAAGACTGATTCTCTTTTAAAAACCCAATGGCCAAAGCACACATCAAATCATTAGGCATTTCTGTAGGGCTCAGCCTAACTCTCAAACAGAATTCCTATGATTAAATAGCTGGAAGCAGCCCCGCAGCCCGAATATCCTTCACTCTGCTGACAAAAGGGCAAGAGGGCTGAAAACCAAGTGCTGAGCCTGAGCCATACAAGTTCCAGCTCCAGAAAAAACAGTTGCTCACCTTGCAAATGGGCTGAATGCCATCAATTTCCTGATAGGTGAAGTTAGTGATCTAACCCCTGATACCTTGATGAGACCTCTAGTACCAAACAACGAAATATAAACTCTCTAGTTACAGATAATACTGAAGACATACATGGCTGAAGACCATGCTGTGTTCATAACCTAACTGGTTTAAATGAAATCTGGAGTCAGACTTTGAAGTCCCCAATGGCTTGCATTTGCTCTAGGAGTCTGTTCTAATGAATAAAAACCAGGTTAAAAATGCGTCGACAGACTCTCAAAAAAGCACCATGAACGGCTCATAGGCTGCTCTGGCTTAGAGGTTAGGGTCGGAGAGAACGGCTGAAATGCGGAACTGAGGAGGCGGCAGTGTCTCCACTCCCTTTCCGAACAGCCTCCCACCCCAGCCGAGGGAGTACCCTTTACCTTGCGCTCCTCAGTCTTCGGTGCTGGCTGCCCGGTTGGGTCTACTGAGTCTCCATTCATTGTGGGCAAAATCATGCCCTGCGTGAACTCTGAAAAGATAAATCCCGGCTCTCGGAAGTTATTTCTTAGTAGCTGATATGGGCCTTCATTATGGTTTGACCAACACGGCCATCTTAACCCAGAATGAGGTCATGACAAGGAAAGGAAGGGTCTACCTGCTTTGCGTCTTTACCTTTGGTCTATGCCAGACAGCTATCTGAGTGTGTGCTATAGAATGCAGTACCTTCGCTGGCATTATTTTAAACCTGACTCAGTCAGAAGCATTACATCTTGTTAAATGTACACGAGGTCTACTACGGATGGTGGCCAACGAATGTGGTGGCACTTCCAGTGACGTCAAGAGCGGGGCAAGATGCCCATGGATGCACATTAGCCCCCCTTCTTCACTCTGCCTTACCTCAGTGGAACGGCCAGAACTCATTACGGCACTAGAGCACTGGTTCCCACCACAAAACTATCACCTGCTCTGCTGGTTCCCTTTGATGGTCATTAAATGTACTCCAAACACCACGACCACTAGCAGACCTGGCAGGCTAGGGGAGAGCTGAGCTCACTGCTTTCTAACAAGCCCCTCAACATCCCTGCAGGCTGCCTGTCCAGGACTGGGCTCAAGGAGCGAGTGTGGGGGTGCCAAGTCTTTAGATCAGTGCTATCCAACACAAATGTAACGGAATTTTAAACTTTCTAGTATCCACATTAAAGAGTTTAAAAAAGATGAAATTATAGTTTTAATAATATATTTAACCCAATATTTGCAAACTGTCATTTCAATGTTATCAATATCAAAAAATTACTGAGCTACTTCTTCTTTGTCTTGGGACCAAGTCTTCAAAATCCATTGTGTACTTTAGACTCATAGCACATCTCAGTTTGGACTAGCGACATTGCAAGTGCTCCACAGCCAACATATTAGACAACAGATCTCTACATCTTTCGCTTACTCAGTTTATAGACTGACTGCGAGATGAAATGAGCCCCCTCCCCCCAAATCTTTACCCATTTGCCAAAGAAAGGACTGTCCAGCCCCTTGGCCAGAGCCTGACAGTGGAAAGCTGCCTCCTCAAGGCACAGAACTACTCAAGGGGTACCTGTTTTGAGAGTGCTGATGTAAATTCCCATGGCTTCTCTGAGAAGTTTCACCCCTTCTTCCTTCATTAAGGCCACGAGATTTGTGTCAGGCTCATCTTTGGCAAGGCTCACACTAATCTGAGTGAAAGATCAGAAGTAGGTGGTAAATAACTTGAGGGGCACCCACATTGTGGAACGTGGGTGCTGAGCAATCAGAGAACTGCTGACATTTCCAAAGGAAATGCCTGAGGGCTGGGGTATTCGCGCAATCCCCACTGAGTGTTCCTTCTCGAGTTCTCTCTGCCAAGGCAAAGGTGGCTAATGTTAGAACCCAGGCTACTAGCTAGAGCGAAGTAGTTAAATAAGCACAAGCTGCTCTGGAAGCTCCCACTGGCACCACAGACCTAGAAAATCATCTGTAAACCAGGGTTCTAAATGCTTGGGTCAAGCCTGGCTTTAATCTTGAATGACAGGTCATTTTCCTCATTTGAGAAGAAGATGTGGAAGACTCAGATGAGGCATTAAGAAGCACAAACCTCTACTTCATCCACGCTGTTTTCATCAGACAAATTGGGGATCTCCACATGTCCCTTGTACTGTACTCCAGTCTTAGAGGTACCTGTCAAAAACAGGGCAATGTCATTAGTCTCCTCCTCGCAGGGGAAGTCTTCTCTGGAGTCCTAACTACTATTCTGCTTACAATCCTTTTGGATAACTTACCTGACCCTCTTTATTCTCAGAGAATGCCACATGCCAGATGCAACCAAACCCTCTTCACCCGCGCCCCCACCCCAAGAAATGTTTTTCCTCGTCAGATTTCTTGAGACCAACTGTGTAACTACAGTGTGGGACTTGGGACTAAGAGCGATGTGGATTCGGCACCAGCATCAACTCTGCCAGGGAGGACTTGGGTCAACAGCCAATACAGTCAGTCCTGCTGGGATGCTTGTTTCGAAAATACAAATCTGTTCCAATGCGACTGATTTATTAGGGGACAATTTGATCATAACATGAATTTCATGTTTGCTTATATGTGATTTAATCCATGAGAAACACTAGGTGGACACAAAAAACCATACCCAGCTAAAGTGAGCTGTGTAGAAATACACGAAACGCACACACCTCAAACATTTCTCTGCCAGTGACCTCAGTTCACCATGTGTGTTATGAGCCAGGCCATCCACAAGTGACGTGGTAATGTTCCTCCTGATTTCAGGTGACCCACCTTCCACCACTTCACAGCAACCCACAAGCCGCAACCCTTCTGATGCCTACCTCCACAAGTAAACTGCAGGTCTCTTTCAAGGTAAAGCACCAGATTTATTGTATTATTTATGCATTTCTTACCATTCAACACATGTGAAACTGTGCTACCAACTTTTACATTCCTAACTTTTAAAAAATGTGTCACCGATGAAGCTTTTGCAGGGGTTGTGTTGTGTCCCTCAGCCCATCTTCCCTATAAACCTTATGATTTCTGTTGAGTGATTTTGTATTTGGTGATTTTCAGGAACACATATCTCACGTTATAGCAGAATTGACTTTATTTCAAAATTAGCTAACAAAACACTTATCTTCACTTCTCTAGGACTCAGTTTCTCGAGCTATAAAAAGAGGACTGGACAAGATGATACCTTCTCCAGACTACTAAGCTCGGGTAGTTAAAAAAAAAAATCATGAACACATATATCTTTTTCCTTTTTTATTACCACTCGAGAAGTGTTTACCGAAGCACAAATTTATTTTATGCTTTGCCCCATACATGTACTCCTTTAGTTTTAGTGCCTTTTAAAATTTAGCCTCCCAAATGTCAGTGCGGTATGTGCATGGCCCTAATTCTTTGCTAATATCATCAGAGAAGGAACATTAAATTAGAGGATAAAACTGCCCCCAATTCTAGTCACATACTAGCTTCATTAGCACAGCAGTCTGAACTGGAGAGACAAAAAAAGATCGAGACCAAAATAATCCCCCTCCGCACTTTTAAATCATCCAAGAGACACAAGTAGCTAATCTGAAGATATGTCACCTTATATGTCCCAGTACAGACCAAGGCCCAATGATTCAGTGGCCCAGCTCTTTCACAGGTGGGGACTCATGAAACTCTGAGGAAAACCATTTAGTGTCCCAGAGGCACAGAAATTCCAGCATGCAATACTGCTTTCTATACGCCTCCAAACCAGCACTAGCTATCTCCCTTGAAAAGTCCATAACCTCTCAAAAATTGTCCTCCCAGCCTCCTCAACAGGGCCATCAAAATGCAGTTAACGTCTACCCTAACAGCCCACCAGACTTACCTGTCCAGTTTAGTTTGATGCTCCATTCATAAAAGAAGATAAGTTTGCCTTTGCGATTGTTAATGGATGCCTCTCCATCAAGCTTATTCACCTCTGTCACCTCACACTTGCCTTCCTCATTTTGCACCTGCACTGCCAGGAACAGCGTTTTCAGCTTATCCGTGGACCAATTTGAAGCATCCCTCTCTGTCCTGCAAAACAGAAACAAAGCTATGGACCAGCAGGCAAATGGAGGATACACTGCTTGCTCCGCGCAAGGGAATCCAAGGCTAAAGGAGGCCTGACAAATAGTTTGAAAAGAACACAAAACCCTCAGTCCCACTCTAGTATGTCCTCTCCTAGGAGACAAGGAGTCCCGTAACGTCTATAAACACAACTGCTGTCCAGGACCGTTACAAACTAAATGGGAAATTATGCTTTCCTTTCTCAGCATGATGGTGCTGGGGTCACTATCCGACACTTTCACATGGTGCCCCCATTTGACCAAGTGGAAAACTGTACACATCCTGCTAGGATCAGGAGCACAGACTGGGCCACAGAATGCAGTATTTAGCCAAAAGGTCCAGTGAGGAGTAAACCAATAATCTTGACCTGTCAAATGCAGGCTGTGCTGTAAATGCCCTTCACCTTCTGTGCCCTCCAAATGGCCATGAAAACAGTCTAAGTCCAGGGCTTCAAAACAAAAATTAGGTCAAGCACTCTGTGTATGTTAAGAGGAGGCAGGATGAGATGCTGAGAAGAAAAATCACTATGTGCCTCCCAACTTACTAACTAGTTGAGAAAACAGCAAAAAGAGGGGCAACAAAGTAAAAATATAGTAAACACGGCATGAACAAAGTTCAGTGGAGATGAAAGATAAGGAAACATTACTTCCGAAAGATTTCATGAAGGAGGGTAGGCTTTTCAAAGTGGTTAAGTTATAAAATCCATGATTGCCCGGCAACCAGGGGCACTGCCTGGAGTTACAACACAACCAACTTAACAGTTCCGGGTGAGAGGCCATGGCGTCTTCAGCATCACTGAGCTCCGAGCACCTACAGAACACGTTCCAAACCTTTGCCCTCTGGACTGAGGTAGTGGTCCCCTATGACCCACTTTTAATTTCACCCGTAAACCGCAAAATGGGAATTCCAGCCCTGTGGCCCCGAGCCTAACGCTGCAATCTCCCAACACAACCCAAGGCGGTCTGGGTCTCGCTGACTCCTCCGGCCACGTGTGGGAAGCATCTCCCGTGTTCAGGCTGGATGCAGCAGCTAGGGGGTTATGTTCTCGTATCTCTGAAACTCCTCCTCTGGAGCGCAGTCCTCCACGTTGCCCCCCGACCCCCAAACACTGAAACGGAGGCCGGGGGGTGGAGGGACCAGCGACTACAGCCCCCTGAAACAGGAAGGACCCACCCCCACCTCCGGGCAGGGCTGCCTCGGCCCCAGCTCTGTCCCGGCCGAGGTTCCAGGGACCCTGCGACCCTGGCTCGGCCGTACCGCTCCCGCGGCCTGGCCCGCTGGCCCTCACCAGTGCCAGTTGTTGACGTTGGTGGCGTCGGCCCGCTCCTCCACGATCCAGCGTGGGTCGCCCTCACCCCACTTGGCCATTGGCTCTCCTACCGCGCCGCCACCAGCTCCCGAGCAGCCACAGTCACAGCCTCAGGACCGCTTGGTCCCAGCCACCCGGCAGCGCCTGGAAACTACTAGAAGCGACCGCAGAACCTCCTGGCTTGCTTTTCCCTCCACCCCCCCGCCCCCTCCCCGCCTTAACTTCCGGCTCCTCCTCGCTTGCACCAGGTACTTCCGTTCCACCTCGCCCGACCTTAGCTTCCGCCTGTTCTAGAGTTCCTCCAAGCTCTCTCAGGTTATCCCCAAAGGGGCCCGAAATGCAACCGCTCACGCGACCATTCTTCACCCGTAGGGACACAAAGAACACGTCCCATTGTTTCCCTGGACCCTGACTCGGCCCTGCTGAGCCTCATGGGAGTTGTAGTCTTGTTGGGTGACCCGCTGGATAACCGCAGAATGTCGCGCTAAAACTATAGGAAACGACCAGGCACGGTTCACTGGGGGTTCTGGGAGCTGTAGTCCACCATCCCCGTGGCCTGTTCGGGCAGCGCCTGACGGCAGAGGCGGAAGGAACTACAACTTCCATCACGCCCTGCGGCCTCTTACTTGACTCACATTCTTCCCCCTCCCAACCCTCCCCGGGACTATCCCCTTCCGCCCGTTTTCTATGCCGCAGAGCCTGACTAGAGAGGCTGGTCCAGTGGCAGAAGTGTCTGGCGCTGTGCTGAGAGGGAGGGCTCGGTGTGGAAGAGGTGAGGGTGTCTCAGACCGCTTCGGCCGTGAATCTGGCTGAGTCCAGCCTCTCCGCATCCTGATCCTTTCGCCTGCTGTCGGAGGCGTCCGTAGACCCTCCAGGCCTGACTCTTCTTCCAGTCGGAGCAACCGCTGGGCCGGGAGCCGGGGTACGCTCGGGGTTGGGGCTGTGAGTGAGCCTCGACGTTTGATTTTGAACGAGCATTTCCCTGGCCAGGGATCTGCCGGGCTGTGGCGACTGCCGGAGATCCGTGGCTTCCTGGACGTTCGCCCGCAGAGTCTTCCTCGTTTAACCCACATTCTCTGGTCTCCGTTCATAGCCTCGCCGGTGTAGGCCTGGCTCGGAAGATGATGACAGAATCTGCATCTGACTTCTCAGCAGCTCCTTTCTGGAGCGTCCTCAAGCAGGGAGCGTGTTGGTTGTAGATTTCTTTTGCGGATGCCTCTGTTTTCCTTACTTTGTCATGTTCCTGTTATCCCCTCGGACCTGCTACCCTGTCTTGTGGGCTTTGAGTTAAACTGCTGACGATAAGGACAAGCCTCTGAAGTATTTTAAATCATGTTGAAGCACCTTTCTCGGTTACTCTTAAAATTGTACCTGGTTGCTTTATACCTTCTAGAGCCATTAAATCATTATCTCTTCGCTTGCCCAGTAAATCCGGGTTCTGATTTGGGACTAGAAGTACAAATTGGTGTCAAGTATCCACTGCTGTTGAATGGTTTTAAAAGATTCCAGAAATCCTGGATTATTGGGTGTGTTAGACCCATGGTGTGCCCAGCTGTAGATATTAACAGATATTTATCTACTGTAGTGAAATAATGACCTGCCCTAGGTGTCCCTAGAGGGAAAAATAGTTAGAACGACCGTGCAAGTCAGAGTGAAATGATCCAGGTGTCAGAAAACCTGGATAATAGGAGCAAGTAGCAAGGTGGGTGTGATACATCATCCTTTTGTGCCTCATTTCCCTCATTGGTGAAATGGCCGTGGAATCTGCCAGGCCTACCTTACAGAGTTGTTCTGAGGATGAGAAAATGTCTTGTGAACTGGCACTTGTGCTAGTTACATGTACATGCTGTATGCACACCTTCAGTGTTTGTGATGGCCACTAGAGTTTTTGTATCAAATTAATTTTTTTAATCTTTATGATTGCTTAAAAATATTTTCTTTCTAGCTTTTCCCAAGGTACCATGACGATTTATTAATAACAGTTAATACTGAGCATTAATTTTGTGTCAGGTACTAAATATGTATTAACTGTTTTAAGCCTCACAGTAATCTTGTAATGTAGGTTTCTATCGTTAACGCCCATTTTACAGATGGGGAAACCGAGATAGAAAGATGTCAGTAAGATATCCTATACTAAAAATAACTAACATTTAGTATTTACTTTCTGCTAAGCGTTTTGTTAAGTGTTGCCTAAGTCCTATATATTCTTCACTGCAACCCTGTGAGGTAGGATATGAATTTTGCGAGGCTTAGAAGTAAAACTATTTAGCCAGTGCTCAGAATTGGAGAAACCAAGGTTTGAACTCAAGGCTGCCTGACTACAAAGTCTATGCTTCTACCACTGTGAGGGATGATTTCGTTGTGTCTGCCAGCTTTTTTATTTGGTTTTGACTCCTTGGCATTAAATATACAAAAGGATTTTTACGCCACATCTGGTTTCAGTAGAAGTTGGTTAGTGGTGTCTGCCATAGGAAGGGATCAGACGGTAGACAATTCCCACCGTGACTTTCCCATCCCTACTTCCCCTGAAAAGAGCAGGAAGTGAAAGTCAAGTACGTTAAGGGCCGTCAGAAGCCTCCTCAGCAGGGCTGCCGACAAGCTTCTGTTGAGAGAGGCGCTGTTGAAGGAAAAGCAAATTGATCCTTTAGAGTTGACAGTGTGTAGTCTTTGGAGTTATTTTTGATGTTGTGGAAGTTTTGGTACCCAGCTCTTGGCTTAAACCAGTTTCCTCTCTAATCCAGGTGGCATTGATAGTTTAGTTTGTAATTAATTCTAGGGCAAAAGTTATTTTTCAGAGTGAAATCTAATTTTAGAGTAGTTATGAGAGGGACTTGTGGTGTTTTGACTGAATCTTTATATGCTTTCATTTCTTCGCCCTGCCCTCATTTCCCAAATTTTGGCCAATGCATGTTGATAAATTAATCATGATTTGAAGATACAGGCAGAATAATTTGGCTTCTTTTAATTGCTTTCATTCTTTCAGGCATTTAACAAGCATACATGAGAGCAAGATATTTGTCAGTTTATTTCACTGTAGTATTCGTAGAACCTCGAACAGTGCCTCAGAGATGGCACTCGGTAGATACACGTTGAATGCACAAGTGCAGTTATTAGCTGTTTTGTTCATATTTTGATTGATGTTGTGTATTCAGCACGGTTCATGATGCATTCTTATAACCCTTGCTTGCCTTGCATGCTTACCTTTATACGTACCTATGCTGAATACCCCGCTCTGTTGTAGGGTCCTTCAGGAGAGGGACTGTGTCTGGCACTTTTTAAATGTCCCTTACAACCCCCGAGAGAGTGCCTTGAAGAAAGTAGGTGTCCTGGAAAGGAATGACTACTTGTGGGTAATTAGAGGATCGAAAGTATGCTTTGATCAGTTGGACACCCAAGGATCTGGTTTTATATGGCAGGTTCAGTATGTGCTTGACCTGATTCTTTTATGCATCCATTTTGTATGTAGTGGGAGTTTGTAGTGAGGGAACCTAATGATTTCAGAGCTCTTTTGGGGGGAATCCAGAAAGGGACAGACATCTGTCTTCCTCTCACTCCAGATGAATCGGACAAAGGGTGATGAGGAGGAATATTGGAACAGCTCCAAGTTCAAGGCTTTTACCTTTGATGATGAAGATGATGAGCTGTCACAGGTAGGTTTCCATGAACTGTTGCTGAAGTTCGCAGCCCCCTGCACACTGCCACTCTAAAAGTCCTTCCCCTTGCGTCCTCGGAAGCCTGGCTTTGACCCTGTCTCCATTAGGCTCAGAAACGTTTGGGTCGGATCTTTAGGAGAATCGTCCTGGAGAAGAGCCCTCCGAAAAAAGCCAGAGGGACTGTAAAAACCAGCTCTCTGCCCTCTTGCTTTCCATTCTTGACATGATTCATTGCTTGCAGGTTTTTTTTTTTGATAACTCCAAATCTTTTATTATGTAATAAAATTTGTTATTTTTGAAAGATGGACTGAATCGGAAGTTTTGTCTTTATCGAGTCAATTTTATAAATGGAGAAACATTCCGTTTTGAAGAGATGGATAAACTCACTCAGGTTTACACAGCAGGTCGTTGCCAGGAGTGTGATTAGAACTAAAAAGTGGCTTTGAATCTTCCTAACTCTTTTGTCACTGAACTGCAATGTTAGCTAAAAAGCAAATTGTTTTCTTGGCAAATATCTAGCAGGCTAGGCTTTCGATTCAGAGGGTGAACTTGTTGGCCATCTTCAAGTCCCAGTTCCTCAGCCTTCTTGGTTGTCAGAGAGAGGGGTGGGAAGTGGCGATTGCCTGAGTGCCCTGCCTTATGTCCCTCTGCAGTTAAAGGAGTCCAAGCGAGCGGTCAACAGCCTTCGAGACTTCGTGGACGATGACGATGACGACGACCTGGAGAGAGTCAGCTGGGGCGGGGAACCTGTGGGAAGTAAGTAGAAGAGGCCCTAGGAGGGGATCCATATTCAGGGTTCTTGTCACTAATGAAGGCTCCACTTGTTTGTCTCCTCGGTGCTTAACAGGAAAGGGAATGAGGATAGATTGTTTTCACATGAGCGTATACCTGGACATGTAACCCCAGGAGAAGATAGACTTGGGGAGATACAGCAGTCATGCCCATATGACACTCTAGGTCTGCTGTCCTAGGGCCGATGCTGGCTGGCTGTTTCAGACTCACTTGGGGTGCATACTAAAATTAGGTTCCTAGGCCTCACTGCAGAGACTCTGATTTAATGGGTCTCAGGGCTGGGGATGGTGGCCTCAGTGTGCAATAAGTACTGCAGGTGCTTCTAATAGGCAGTCATATTTGGGAACTACTGGCTTAATTGCTCATAACTGCCTGACAGAACCCACTTCCTTAACCACCAAGTCTCACTGTCTAGCTGTTATATAAGACACACCACTTACCACCTTTGCAGAGTCCAACCTGATTTTGAAGAATATTTTTTGAAGTTTTTTTCATAGGAAATACTGCCACATAATTTAAAAATCAAAAAGTACTTAAGGGGCCGGCCCTGTGGCCAAGTGGTTAAGTTCACACGCTCCACTTCGGCGGCCCAGGGTTTCGCTGGTTCGGATCCTGGGAGCGGACATGGCACTGCTCATTAGGCCATGCTGAGGCGGCTTCCCACATGCCACAACTAACAGGACTCACAACTAAAATATACAGCTATGTACTAGGGAGATTTGGGGAGAAAAAGCAGAAAAAAGAAGATTGGCAACAGTTGTTAGCTCAGGTGCCAATCTTTTTTTTTTTTAAGGTTATAACAGTTAACATCCTTTTGAAATTACAGTTTTACATCATTATTAGTCATGTTGTAGGTACACCACTTCACCCCTAGTGCCCTCCCCCCACCCCCCTTTCCCCTGGCAACCACTGATCAGTTCTCTTTGTTTGTCCATATGTTAACTACCACCTATGAGTGGAGTCATACAGAGTTTGTCTTTCTCTGTCTGGCTTATTTCACTCAACATAATACTCTCAAGGTCTATCCATGTTGTTGTGAATGAGACGACTTTGTCCTTTTTTATGGCTGAGTAGTATTCCATTGTATATATATACCACAACTTCTTTATCCAAAGATTTTTTTGTTGTTTTTCTCCCCAAAGCCCCCCAGTACGTAGTTGCATATTCTTTGTTGTGGGTCATTCTAGTTGTGGCATGTGGGATGCTGCTTCAGCGTGGCTTGACGGGCAGTGCCATGTCCGCGCCCAGGATTCGAACCAACGAAACACTGGGCTGCCTGCAGCGGAGTGTGCGAACTTAACCACTCGGCCATGGAGCCAGCCCCTCAGGTGCCAATCTTTAAAAAAAAATGTACTTAAGGCATAACAGTGAAAATTTCCCTTCCACACTGTCATGCATCCACTCAGTTCTCAGTCCCTACCTCCCCAAAAATAACCCTGTTGTTTGCATCCTGGGTATTTGTCTAAAGAATCTTTTTACATTTGCAAATGCATGTAAGAATATATATTCTTGGGGTCCAGCCCAGTCGCATAGTGGTTAAGTTCAGGTGCTCCGCTTCAGTGGCCCAGGGTTTGCAGGTTCAGATCCCAGGTGCAGACCTAGCACTGCTTGTCAAGCCACACTGTGGCTGCATCCCACATGAAATAGAGGAAGATTGGCATGGATATTAGTTCAGCGACAGTCTCCTTCAAGCAAAAAGAGGAAAGTTGGCAACAGATGTGAGCTCAGGGCCAATCTTCCTCACCAGAAAAAAAAAAAGAATATATATTCCTACCCCCTTTTCACAGAAGTGGCCCTCTACTTTATACCCTGCTCTTTTCACTTGCTAATACAGCTTAGAGCTGTTTCCAAATCACTGTATAAATAGCTTTCTCATTGTTTCTCCTTTTTTTAAACAGCAGCATAGTCTTACATTGTATGGACTTACCATAATTTATTTACCCAGTCCGCTGTTGATGAAGTTTAGATTGTTTCCAGCCTTTTGTTGTTTATATTGCTATCTATAATCTTATATTCTGCCCATATGTGAGTATATGAAAGGTCAGTTCTTGGAGTGGGATTTCTGGCAGAGGGGATTTGCATCCGTATTGGACAGATGTTGCCTAAGTGCCCTCCGCAGAGGTTCACTGATTTGTGCTGGCTTCACAATGTTGGAGGGCTCCTCTTCCCCCACCGCTTTGCCAACACAGGCTATTATCAAACTTTGGATCTTTGTCAATCTGCTAGGGGGCCAGTGGTATCTCAGTGTACTTTTACTTTGTAATTCTCTTATTAAGAGTGAGCTTGAGCATCTTTTCAGATGTGTAATAGCCACTTGAATTTCCTCTTCTGTGACTCATTTATTCCTTTCCTTTGCCCCTTTTTCTGTTAATTAGTCTAGTTGATTCTATCCTTTCTTGCCTGCCCGGATTTTTGGAGTCCCTGTCGGCCAAGGGACCAGGGCCTCTGGTGAAAAGCGTTTGAATTTGTTAGAATGCCTGTTATCCAGGGTCTATTTTGGCTGAGAATGACTGATGTGGTTCTTACTGTCTCACAGGTATCTCATGGTCCATCAAAGAGACCGCTGGTACCAGTGTGTCAAACCATGAAGGCCGCGAACAGCTAAAGAGCCGAAACAGCTTCTCCTCCTATGCACCACTACCCAAACCTACTTCTACCTACTCCCTGAGCAGCTTTTTCAGAGGTAAAGAGTGATAGTTAAAGGGACGGGGAGTCCTCCTTTTCTTTTTTCAGAAAAACACTCAGACTATAATTTTCGTTTACTCTGGAAGAAAAAGATTATTGAGGGATAAAGAATTGTCTTTGGAGCTGGCAGCGGGGATTAGGAGTGGGAAAAATGAGAGGAATTCAGAGGGCTTGCAGTAGGTTTTCTCGAACACGATGAACAAAACTGACATTAACCCTGTGGTAGGTACTGAAGAAATTTGCCTAGGGCGAAATTCCTGCCCACCCCCGTGCATTGCTGGTGGGAATGTAAAATGGTGCAGCCGCTGTGGAAGACGGTATGGCAGTTCTTCAAAAAATTAAATGTCGAATCACCATAGATCCAGTACTCCAATCTGGGTACATACCAAAGAGAATTGAAAACAGGGGCTTGAACAGGTACTTATATACCAATGCCCCTAGCAGCATTATTCAGAATAGCCAAAAAGTAGAAACAACGCAAATGTCCATTGACTTATGAATGGATAAGCAAAATATACATGCAGTGGAATTTTATTCAGCCAAAAAGAAACAAAATTCTGATAGATGCTACAAGATGGATGAACCTTGAGGACTTTATGCTAAGAGAAATAAGCCAGATCCAAAAAGACAAATGTCGTATGATTCCATTTCTATGGAATACCTGGAATAGTCAGATTCAGAGAGACAAGTAGAATAGTGGTTACCAGGGGCTGGGATAAGGGGGAATGGGGAGTTATTATCTAACGGGCACGGAGTCTCAGTTTGGGATGATAAAGTTCTGGAGATGGATAATGGTGATGGTTGTACAATGTGGATGTACTCAGTGCCACCAAACTGTAGACTTAAAAATGGTTAAAATGGTAAATTTTATGTTATTTATATTTTACCACAATTAAAACAAATTTCCTCCCTGCCTTTTTTTTCCATGGCACCTCAAATTTCTGAAGTTAAATAAAAGCGTTTTTAAGCCTTCGGTTCCCACATTTCAGAATAAGGTTCTGTATACACTACGTGGTTAACCAAGTCTGAATGGCTCTGACTTGATCTGTTCACCTCTTCCCTCATGTGTTCTCTACCTTTAGGGAGAACTAGACCTGGAAGCTTCCAGTCTCTTTCTGATGGTAGGCATCGACTCTCTTCTCCTGATTGCTGTGGGAGCTGTTCCTGATTTGGGATATGGTCTGGGGAGTCATGGGAAAGGGTGGTAATTATGATGATTAGATGAAGTTTCTTCTGAATCTACCATCAGTATTAGAGAAATTTTCTGATACTGAGTAAGGAGGATCATTCTGGCTACAGGGGCAAGGAGGGACTCCTAGGGATGCTATTTTTGGAGAGGAACCGAGATCTCCTTTGGGCCATAAAGGTACCTTGGGAGCCCATAAGTCAAAAAATGTGTGAGAAGGAAGCGGTAGAAGAAAGGAATGACAAGAAGATGATGTCCTTCTGAACCAGCTGCCTGTTCTTTTTCAGCTTTGTCGGACACACCTGCCAAAAGCTATGCTCCAGAGCTGGGGAGACCCAAGGGGGAGTATAGGGTGAGTTACGTCTTACAGCGGTGTCACACTTTACACACTGTAGAATGCTTTGATGTATGCAATCTTGTTTGATCTTCCCAACTTTTTGAGTAGGTATTATTTTAACCCCTTTTATAGATGAGAAAACTGGATTTCTAAACATTAGGGCTTACCTGTGGTCTCACAGCTAGTAAATGGTAGAACCTGGATTCAAAAATCTCTATTTTCTGATTCAGTCCTAGCACTCTTGCCTATTATGCTGTCTTTTAAGTTTTTTTTTTTTGAGGAAAATTAGCCCTGAGCTAACATCCGCCACCAATCCTCCTCTTTTTGCTGAGGAAGATTGGCCCTGAGCTAAAATCCATGTCCATCTTCCTCTATTTTATATGTGGGACGTCTGCCACAGCATGGCTTGATAAGCAGTGTGTAGGTCCGTGTCCTGGATCCAAACCAGCCAACCCTGGGCTGCCCAATCAGAGCTTGCAAACTTAACCGCTATGCCACCAGGCTGGCCCCCGGAAGTTTTTGATCATCCCTGTGGCCTGAAAACTTGGTGGAGCTCATATTTCCATGAAGCGCATAAAAAAACAAATTGATTCATGAGGAAGAAACTATATCGTAATGTCCAGAAAAGGAACATTTCTCCCTCTTTTCTTCTTTTGACAAAGCCATTAACAGAGTCCTAAATATGACTAATTGCATCTTGGGATTGAAGTCTTAAACCAGTAGGCACAGGATGACTGTTTTTGTCAGGCGGTTCATTCCCTCTTTGATCCACCTCCTGCTTATATTGTCGCTGTTGTAGTTCTTTCAGAAACTCAGAACAAGACCATCCCAGTTCTTCATTTTTTTCATCCATTCCGTCCCACAAAATGTCTCCTCTTTAGGGACTAAGACCGTGAGTTTGAGGTGAGGAGCTGGCACACTGATAATTCACGTGTTGCTAATATTCCAGGATTACAGCAATGACTGGAGCCCCAGTGACACAGTGCGACGCCTCCGGAAGGGCAAGGTAAGGCCACTGGAGAGAGAATTCTTAGGGAATTTTTTTGGAAACTGGCCAGCTTGTTCCATAGGGGGGATTTCTCGGCCTCTCTCTCCAGTTCTATTTATTAAATGAAGTGGCTTTCAGGAGGAAAATAAATCCGCTAAGATGGAAAGTGAGCTGCAGAATTTGTGATTCTCCAGGGTTTAGCGTTGCTTTGATCAGGTAGTGGGGAAAGAGTGATGGATGAGACGGAAAAGTACCTTTCAGAATGAGAACGATCTTTTACGTTTACGTCTGTGATCCATTGTGAGTTAACTTTTGTTTATGGTATGAGGTCAGGATTGAGGCTCATTTTGTTCCCATGTAATTCTCCATTTGTTCCAGCACTATTTGTTGAAAAGACTATCCTTTCTCCTTGAATTACCTTGGTGCCTTTGTCAAAAATCAATTGACCGTATATGTGTAGGTCTATTTCTGGACTCTTTATTCTAGTTCATTTGTTTGTCTATCCTTATGCCATTACCACAGCCTTAATTAAATGTAGCTTTGTAGTAAATCTTAAATTAGGTAATATGAGTCTTTCCACTTTGCTCTTCTCTTCCAAAATTGTTTTGGCTATTCTGGATCCTTTGTATTTCCATGTAAATTTTAGTAACAGCTTGTCATCGTCTGCAGAAGAGCTGCTGGGGTTTTGATTGGGATTGCTTGAATCTGTAGATCAGTTTGGGGAGAATTGATATCATGATAATTAATGGATCAAAATGGATCATAGACCTCAATGTAAGTGCTAAAACTATAAATTTCCTGGAAGAAAATATAGGTGAAAATCCTTGTGACCTTGGATTAGGCAAAGATTTATTACCTGGGACACAAAAAACATGACACAAAAAAGAAAAAATTGATAAAATGGACTTCATCAAAATTAAAAACTTTTGTTCTTTGAAAGCACTGTTAAAATGAAAAGCCCACCACCATAGCTGGGAAAAAATATTTGCAAAATACATGTATTATAAAGGATTTTTATCTAGAATATGTAAATAATAAATTATCTTCAGTAATAAGAAGATAGACAATCCAATAAAAAATTGGCAGAAGATTTGATCAGTTAAATCACAAAAAAGATACATGAATGGCCAATAAGCACTTGGAAAGATGCTCAACATTATTATTATCAAAAAAAGGTGAATTAAAACTGTGAGGTACCAGTAAACAGCCACTAGAAGGGCTAAATTTGGAAGTATTGATCATACCAAGCGTTGGGAGCGTGTGCGGAACTGGAACTCCAGTAACTGCGAGCAGGAGGGTAAAATGCTAAAAGTACTTTGGAAAATAGTCTGGCAGTTTCTTACAAGTTAAATATACCCTTAATTTCACTCGTAGACATTTACAATCTAAGATAAATGAAAACATATGTTCATACAAAGATTTGTACATAAATGTTCATAGCAGCTTTATTCATAAAAGCTCCAAAAGTGGAAACAACCCAAATACACATCAGCAGGTAAATGGATAAAGAAATTGCGGTATGTCCATACAATGGAAAACTACTTACCAGTAAATAGGCACAAACTACTAATACTCACCACAACACATAGGTTCATCTCAGAATCATAATGTTGAGTGAAAGAAGCCAGATATAAAAAAAGCAGGCAGATGTTGTATGATTCTATTTTTATGAAATTCTAGAAAAGGGGAAACTTTAGTGACTGGAAACAGGTGAGTGGTTGCCAGGGGCTGTGGATGGAAGGAGGGTATTGACGTTAAAGTAGACAGGGAAGTCTGGGGTGATGGAAATGTTCTGTATCTTGATTGTGGTAGTAGTTACATGAAATTATATAATTTCAAAACTCACTGAACTCTGTACTTAAATAGGGTCAATTTTACTGTATGTAAATTATACCTCATTAAAAAGAGAACAAGTAATCCCTCTACCCACTGACTTGGGTAAGACTTCATCACGACATTGGCGTCTTCTCAGGCACAGGCCGAACCAAAGAGGGTGTGGTGGGAGTCTGCTCTCACAGAGTGCTAGGGACCATAGTGTAAAAATAGACTCTCCCTGGGGACATTTCCTTTTATTCTTGCCCATTCTTCAGTATTCACTGACAAAGGAATATAGGAAATGGCCTTCCTTGCACACTAATTCTGTTCTTATCCCGCCAGGTCTGCTCACTAGAAAGATTCCGCTCCTTACAGGACAAGCTACAACTCCTAGAAGAGGCAGTAAGCATGCACGATGGAAACGTCATTACTGCAGTGAGTTGTGGGTTTCGTTTGTTGTTGTTTTCATTAGTTTCTGAAACTCCAATCAGAATAGACTCTAACATTTTAGGTTAAATGTCAGGTAAAGATCCTGGATTCCCTTTTGAAGTGTAGGAGTCTCGGTAATATGCATTCTAAGACTCAGTTGGCAGGACGTACGTTGTGTGTTGGACTCTTGATTATGATCAAGAAGCAGTAGGTTGGCTGCTCTGTGTTCTAAAAACTAACCTGAGGGAGGAGAGATGTGAGAGCAGTCTCTCTCAGAGGGAGGTGTCTCTCGCCAGTGTGGACACGGGCATGTGGACTCCCAAGACACAGCTCAGTCCCAGATATCCATCACCTGTCTTTCCATCGCATAGAGAAATCTGTTATCTGGACCTGCAAAGATTCTCCTGAGTTGCTGACCTCAGTCTTAGACACCAGGTGTTCAGGGCAGGGCTTTGTGTTTGAAAGGTTGCACAGGGTAATTCGTTCTTTGTTCTTTTTTCCTGTAGGTTCTGATCTTCCTGAAGAGGACGCTGAGCAAAGGTGAGCATGGTTTAAAGGAATTCTTCAGTCTGCAATCTTCAGTCCTGCATTTGAGGGGAGAATGGCACGTGGCTTTCATACTAGAATTCGCCAGTGTCGAGTGTGCTTCAGAGACGGCTGGGGTGGCCTGAGACTTCAGAGTACATCACATGTCTGAGGGCAGTCGTCATCCTTTGGTGTGATAACTACATTAACTGCAAACCCCGCCTAATTTACTGGACAGACAGATGGCTGTGTTGGTTTGAGGAAGTCAGGTGATGCTAAGTGCCTGCTGTTTGGGTTGATGAGAACTGAAAAGCTGACTCAATGGCTAAGAGTTGCCCTGAGCCATGGAGTAGGTTGATGGTGGAATGAGTCTTAGGGATGGCTACCATAAAAAACCCATTCCTAGCCTCTGATCAACTTTGAGGAGTTAACATTTGGAATGTGTGAGGAGGGAGACCAATTTTCACTTGAGTCATAGGCTTTAATCTTTCCCCACCTAACTTCTTCCTGCCAGAGATCCTCTTCCGAGAGCTGGAGGTGCGACAGGTTGCCCTGCGACATCTCATTCACTTCCTTAAGGAAATAGGGGATCAAAAGCTGCTTTTAGACCTCTTTAGGTAAGAACTGATCATCTGGCCCATAAAGTTTATCAAGTACTTTGTTCAAAGCCCTCCAAGGGATACAGAGAAAGAGAAGACCCTGTCCTTTTTTTCTGGAAATGGTTTTTAGACAAGATACTGAAATGTGATAGAACAACTAATAATACACCATAGGTTGTGATAAGGTTACAGTGTAGCTGGTGGTTAAGGATCGGGCTCTGCTTGGCAGGCCATGGTCTCGTAGGCGTCCCACATATAAAGTAGAGGAAGATGGGCACGGATTTTAGCTCAGGGCTAATCTTCCTCAAAAAAAAAAAAGAATCAGGCTCTGGAGTCAAACACACCTGCATTGAATACTGGCTCCCCTTGGTTCAAAGAGTGAGCAAGTTACCCAACCTCTCCAAGCATCAGTTTGCCCATCTGTAAAATAGAGATGATGATACTTGCCCCACAGGGCCATTATGAAGATTAAAAGAGTTAATGTTGTGAAAAGCACTTGGCATAATGCCTGTTCCATAGTATTAATATTTATTAAGTATTTTCGTATAAAAGACCTAGAATGAAGGTATTTTTTGTATCACTTGGTGCCCAGTGATGGCAGTGAGAAGTACAGTGGAAGAGCAGAAGAAGAAATGATAATTTTCAGTCAGGATACCCCAGGAAAGCCTCATGGAAGCAGTTAGGAATTGATTTGGGGCCAGGAGACTAGGTTGGATTCGGATAGGTGGAGAAGTAAGAGCATGTCTGCTGGGGGCTGCGGGAGTGGGGAGGGGCGGTGTCTTCTCTTGTGACTTCCTTCCCTATCTCATTCCGATCAGTGGGGACCATTTCCTACCCTTAGAGTAAAATGGATGTGTATTATGTCCTTTCTTCAATGTCAGGGAAGAGGTTGGAACCTCTCTTTAGGCTGACATGTGGCACATGGTAACTCCAGTGACTCCAGTACAGTGATGAGCTGCCCTGAAGACTCAGGTGGGGAAAGCAGGTCACCTGGTCAGGGTCAAGATTACAGATGGTTGGCCAGGAATTTGCAGAAGACGTTCATCAAGGCAGGCTATTCGCTCCCTCCCTCCCTTTCTTCCCTCCTTCCCAGTGAACAAGACTTGATTAAGCATCACCTCTATTGCCAAAGCAGTGTTGTTAATTATAGTGGTCCATTCAAAGTAAGAAGGAATCAGAAGACAAAAATCCTTGTGCTCCAAGGCCTTACTGCCTTTTGGGGTAGACAGAACACATTGTATACTGTATGTGAAAACAAGAGAGAACAAGAGAGAAAATCTGTTTCCAAGATTGTACTGCCAGAGAAGAGTGCTTTAATCTTTCCAAAAAAGGGAAAAAACCGTAAGATTACTGTGGCCTAAGGTTTTGTGGAGGCTCTGAGCCTTTCTGCCAGACGTGGTAACATGACAAAGTTATTAGTGCCCTGTAAGGCCTTCTTGTCCTTGCTTTTCGCTCAGCTAGAGAGATGAGGGGAGCAATGACATCTGATCCACCGTGTGTTTTCAAAGGGTTGCTGGTGGTAGAAAGTTTAAGAAGAGAAGGGCTTATCTTGTGTATGGAGGCAAATGAGTTTGACTTGTGTCCTCCTAGAGCAGTCATCCTCTTTTGTGAGGTTCTGCTGCCACACGTCAATAGATAAAAATGCCCTGCTGCCTTCTGCTTCCTCCCAGGTTCCTAGATAGAACAGAAGAGCTTGCGGTAAGTGTGGCCTTTGTTTCACTTGGGGACCTATTTAACTGAAATCTAAGCCAAAACCCAGGCTCCATGACCCCAGTAGCATTGAGCTATCTCCTTTCCTTTGGTATTGATTGTATCCAGAAGAGAGGGGCATCTGGGAAGCCTGAAAACTGAATCCAAAGGATGTACTGTTTTGTTTCTTTCTGTCTGCTCTTTTGATTGGGCCCATGAATAAATATTTTTTCGAATAAATGAATGAAAACTGGCCTGATAATTTGTAATTTATTTTTTAGTTTCTAGTCACTTTCAATTCCTGGTTTATGGGAGCTTTTGGGTTTTGGCTTCTAATACTAAAGAAAATTTTGAAGGCTAAGAGGGATAAGAAACCAGATATAGGTCAAGAAGGAAGATAGGTCCAGGTGGTGGTGCACCCAATACACATTTTGGCTGAGAGCTCACTGATCGGGTATTAAAATGGACTTTTGGCAGATTTTTACCATCATGGAATGAACTCTTGGAATACGAGAATAAATCTGAAATTTTACCAAAAATTTAATTGTATTATTGAAACTTTAGTGATCCATTTTTAAAAGTTTGACATTATAGTGCAGGCATAAGAATTTCTCAGTGCCAGCAATGGCAGGATTGCTGCCTGCACATTTGTGGTGATAGCAATGCTCATGCTCAGCTGGCACATTTAATAATATTGTGACCTTCTTTGCCCAGCAGAGGATAATTCAGGAGAATGTTTTTCAGTAACATTTTGTAAAAGGAACTTGTACTTCCTAATACTTGAGGCATGGTCAAATCTCAAAACTCCTTTATCTTAATCAACTGAAAATGATTGGCAATCTGTAGTAATCATTTTGAAAAACTTTTGTTTACATTTTTAATCTCCATAGGTTTGAATCTATGAGGAATTTTCTTCATACAGCATTCTTACAAAGTTTTTTTTTAAGTTCGATTAGTGAAAACAAATATGTTTTGGGTAACTCATTTTTATCTGAAACTTTCTTATTTTCTTTATATTCTCTATTATGTTTGAATTGAAGATGATTTATCTTGCACGTTGTATATAAATTTGGAGTTTTCCAACCTCATAAACTTTGGAAGTGGCAAAGCTCATAGTCTGCTTTAGTTTTTCCTCATAGAATATGAAGATTTCCCAAGTAGGACTTTTTCTTGAAAGACTTAATGCCAAAAAATTATAGCTCTTAAAGGTTACTTTCTTTACTATTAGGAATGATTATATACTATATATTTTATATCAAATATTTTACAAAGATTAGATTATGATATAATGTAATCTCTTTTATTCTGTTTTCTGTTATTTACATTTTTATACACATTTCTTGGCTCTAAAAGGATATACTGTACTTCCTAAAGCCACTTCATTCTCTTAATATTCATATTAACTGTCAATCTGTTTATTTTTTAACTCTTGGAAAGTTTTCAATAATTATATGTAGAATTACAACTTTCACAATCATTCATTATTGCATCATTTAAACTTCAGTTCATTTTTTACTTTCAAAATACAAAGCCCATCAGATTTTCTTTTGGCGTTACATGTGGAAGCTGTAGTATTTGAATGTGAATATTTAGTTATCAACAGTGAATCAGAGTGACGTGCCCTATTCATGTTACTGGCATTGTTAATTGTTAGATATTTATAGGATCATGCTACCATTGATCATGCACGAGGTCAAGGATGCCACACATAACGTTGAAGTAGGCATTTAGCTCTTCGGCCTTTCCAAGTCTCAGACTGAAGCAAACGCTGGTTTTGATTAAATACTGAAGCTAAAGCCAAACTTCAGAGTAAAGCTGGGTGCTCTGTCTACGTATTGCTTCACTGTAGGTCAGCGCTGTCCAGCAGAGCTTCCTACAATGGTGGGAATGGTCTATATCTGTGCTGTCCGATAGGGTAGCCACTAGTCACATGTAGCTATTGAGCACATGAAAAGTGACGAGTGAACTAAGAACCAGTGCAACTGACAGGTCATATGGCCTCTGGTAAACAAAGAGAAATTAGAAAATAAGAAGTTTCTAATTAAGAAATTTAATTAATTTAAATTTAAATATAAACAACCAAATGTAGCTATTGGCGACTGTATTATATATTGCAGTTATAGATAAACCAAAGAGTGATTTTTGCACCACTCTTTGCCCTTCCTCCATCCCCTCACCCAATCCACGCCCAGAAGGAATCTCTGATAGTGAAGAAGTTAGTTTTTAAGCATGGAAATTCTACTTACAGAGCTACCTCGCCCTTCTAAGGAGACAGAATAGCTCAAAACCTTTCTCTGTTTTTTGTAGCTATCCCATTATCGAGAGCACTTGAACATTCAGGACCCTGAGAAACGAAAAGAATTTCTTAAGACCTGCATTGGGTAAGTATGGGGGAGAAATCTTTTTAAGTATAAGTACTCTTACATGGAAGAATTAGGAGACTAAAAGAAAGTGGAATGGAAAGATAGTTGAAGGGAAACGCTAACAATGGATCATACAGCATCATTAAAGATTGTCTCATTCACTGGTTCCAAATGCTGCTCCCTAATAGAGTTTTCATTGATTGGTGATAAATTGAGAAAAATAAAGACAACATAGAGAGTTTTTTCTTTTTCTTTTTTTTTTTTTCAAGATTTTATTTTTCCTTTTTTTCCCCAGAGCCCCCGGTACATAGTTGTATATTCTTAGTTGTGGGTCCTTCTAGTTGTGGCATGTGGGACGCCACCTCAGCATGGCTTGATGAGCAGTGCCATGTCCGCGCCCAGGATGCGAACCGGTGAAACCCTGGGCTGCCACAGCAGAGTGTGCAAACTTAACCACTCGGCCACGGGGCTGGCCCTGAGAGTTTTTTCTAAAGCTAAATTTATTTAATTTGAATGACTTCATTGTATCTGGGATATTTTTCTCTCCTTTTTTGGTAGTAAAATGGGTTGTAATTTTTTTTTATCACCTTTATACTAAAATAAAAAGTTGGCAACACTTTATATATTTTTTTCAATATTACTAATTCTTGAAACCTCAAAGCTGAAGAACCACTGATTCAGTGCAAGCTTTCATCCAGAATATAAATCCCTGTAAAAACCAGCCCCACATATTCTTCCAGTGATGGGGCGCTCACTGCTCTTGGAAGCAGCTCATTTTATTGTTGGACAGCCTTCATTATTGGAAAGTGCGTCCTTATATTGAGCTGAAACTTGCTTCCCTGGATCTTTCCAGACCCGTCTAGCATCACCCAGTAAGTAGGGTGTGTGGCAGTAGTGCCAGGTCCACTGCTCCAGGGTCAGTGTTCTCAGTTGTTTCAGTCATTCCTCATGCAACATGATTTCTAGGCTTCACATTTACAAATTTGTCTCTGACAATACAGTCCTTAATTTTAATGTTCCAAATAACTGAGCTATGTCATATGGCCTCTAGTAAACAAAGAGAAAAGTTAGAACAGTGAAATAACTGGAACTATTGCTGTCTCCCTTTATCTCTTCTAACAAGTGGCTGTGGCTCACACTTATCTGTGACAGTATAATTGAATTTTCAGAATTCTTCCCGGAATGAGTAAAGTAGGGGAATAAGGCAGCACTTTCTAAAGGATAGATCTGTGAGCTGGGAGCTTAAAATCTGGCTTGTGTTCTGGGGCTTACCCATTGACTTACCATATGACTGTTAGGCAAGACACTGTTTGTCCCTCAACTTCTTCATCAATATGATGTACTGTTTAAGATGGGACCCTTGACATTTGTGGAGATCTTAACCAATCTACAAATGTACCACCATGCCATGTAATTTAATTTTACCTTATTGCTCTGCAATAAAAAATGGCTAACAGATGTAAGTGCCCCTTAAGGAGAGTTAAGTATTGACATTAAGCAATGACATGAACCACAGTGCTTCCCTGGGATGTGTATGATGGACAGTTCACTAGGCCCACTCACTAGCTAATGTGACTCATTCACCAAATGTTCCAACTCCCACAATGAGAGGATTCTAATTAATTCCTCAGCAAAATCACTAATGACTATAGGTGTTTTATGGACCTTCAGGATTCCTCTTGAATTGGCAAAACCTTAAATACAAAATCCCAGCCAAAGATGTACTGTACTTTCTGCTTTCTCTCTCTCTGCCTTTCAGGGATGCTGTAAAGGTGAATTGAGATCAGATTTGTGACGCACCGTGAACCTCTTATGCTTACAGTAGTGATTTAGTTTAGCTGGGTTTGTTTCCTATTTGAGTGGAGAAAGAGGCACTAACCTTCTGGCCCTCTGTCAGTTTGCCATTTTCAGCAGAAGATTCTGCACACATCCAAGACCATTACACGCTCCTGGAACGTCAGATCATTATCGAGGTGAGACTCCTCATCTCTGCATTTTCTGCTTCAATGCCCGTGCTCAGTGCATTCAGCATGTAGGAGACTTCTACGCTCTGCCTGTATATGTCATTTCCTGTTACAATCCCTGAGAGCCTTTCATTTTCTCTCTCTACATGATAGCTCCCTTCCCTCCATTGTTCTCAGGCATCCCTTTTCTTCTCATCTGCTTTTAAGTTGGAAGTATTTCCTCTTCATCCCGGAACTCTCATTTCCTTGCTACTTCTCTGGTCTTCCTCCATCTAACTTGTCATCATTTTATGAATTTTAAACTCCCCTGGGCTATGCTAGGCAATTTCTTTCTTTTTTCCTTCTTTGCCTCTAGGGTAGGGAACAACTGCTGTAGTATTAAAGGTTTCTCTCCTGCCTCTACTCCATGGACATTGTTCTTTTTCTCCACTTGGCTCACTCTGCCACAGGCAAATGACCGACATCTAGAAGCAGCGGGACAGACTGAGATGTTCCGGAAGCACCCCCGGAAAGCTTCCATCCTCAACATGCCGTTAGTGACGACGCTTTTCTACTCCTGCTTCTACCATTACACGGAGGCTGAGGTACAGGCACAGTGTGAAAGAAAGATCCCGCACACCCTCCCTGCACGAGAGGAGCTTAGTTTGAAGCCAGTATTTCGATGTACTCTGTGACCAATGGGTGCATGTAGTTCTCGGAAATCTACCTAGAATCTCCCTTGGCCCTCAGCAGGGGTGAGCCAAGAGGGGAAAAGGTTTGTGAGGCCCTGCGTGGCTTCCAGTGAGCTGGCAGACTAGCATAGCACATTCCGTCTCACCAGTGCTGGTCCCATGGCAGCCTCTGTTCAAAGGTCCATAATTTCAAATGGATTCGCACCATGTAGAGAAGAACAGCAGGTGTTAGGCATCTGTAGGTACTTTTTAAAAAAATTTTTTTGAAGAAGCTTGAATTTAATGATCAATGATCATAGGTGGACATGATCCTAATGATCATAGGATTAGCATAAAATTGGGAAATACTCCATACCTATCCACTCCCGTTAAGCCGGGTTGTGGTGATATCCAGTTAGACCCAGTGGAGCTTTTCTCTTAAATTAATTTCTGGGTTTAAATGGTTACAGAGTGAAGTGTAGAATGTCTGGGTGATGGACTAGAAAATGGGAGATTGGGTGGTATTTGGGCAAGTCAGTAGCACTAAAATTCCTTCTCCACTTTCATCCTAGGGGACATTCAGCAGTCCGGTCAACCTGAAGAAGACATTTAAGGTAGATAGAAATGGGTCAGTGTTTGGTAACAGTAATAGTAACTACATGGAGTGGATGTTGCTTTACTGTACCTGCACAGTAAGTCCCTCGACGTTCGAGGTCCAAGGTAGAAGGGACCGAGTTCGGGGGAAGGAGAACGCCTCGGCTGGGTGGCCTGCAGCAGTGCGGGGACCGGGAATGAAGGCGTTCTTCATGACCTGAGCGATTTCTGGATTGTAAGGGGTGGAATCAACACCAGGGAGTATTTGTGCCTCTCTTCTCCAGAAGTCTTGAGCACCTCCCCCGCTTAATTTCCCCTGGTCTCTGTGTTCTAGATCCCAGACAAACAGTATGTGCTGACAGCCCTGGCTGCTCGCGCCAAGCTTCGAGCCTGGCATGATGTGGATGCCCTCTTCACCACAAAGGTGAGCCCTGGACTGTTGCGTGCTGCTAACGCCACGGAGTTACCGTCTTGCTGTCCCATGCCTCACAGGAGTCTTAAGTTCCAGTTACTGCTTTACAGTTCCCCCCTTACTTTTCATTTCCCCAAATTTCAAACCTAAAGAAAAGTTGAAAGAATAGTATAATGAACAGTAATAGTCTTTATCTACTTCACTAATTTATTAATATTTTTGCCACATTTAGTTTCTCTTTTTCTATGTTTTCTCCATGCGTATAAGAAAAAGAGAAAGCAAATATGCCTTTTTCTTTGCTGAGCCACTTGAAAGCAAGTTGCAGACATCATGACACTGCTCCTTAAATACTTAGCATTTTCTCATTCGTAACCGCAATATTACCATCACTCTCAAGAAATTTAACATTAATATAGTAATATTAGATGTAGTCTATATTTAAAATAGCTCTTTAGGGGCTGGCCCCGTGGCCGAGTGGTTAAGTTCACGCGCCCTGCTTCGGCACCTCGGGGTTCTCCAGTTCGGATCCTGGGCAAGGACATGGCACAGCTCATCAAGCCATGCTGAGGCGGCGTCCCACATGCCACAACTAGAAGGACCCACAACTAAAAAAATATGTATACACAACTATGTACCAGGGGTCTTTGGGGAGAAAAAGGAAAAAAAAATAGCTCTTTAGCGCTGTTTTGTGTTCATTTTTGTGTTTGCTGTCAGGATTTAATCAAAGATCTTGCATTACATCTGGTGATCATGTCTCTACTGATTTACATTTTAAGTATCCATTTTTCGATTATGGATTTGAGAATTTTCTGTTTTTCCATTTTGTTAGTTATGTAATTAGCTGTGTTAACTACCAGAGCAATACATGCGTGCGTCAAAATGAAATACTCTATGAAAATATAGAGGAAAGACTGAAGTTCTCTTCCATTGACCACCTGCTTCTATCTCACTCCCTTCCTCAAGGGAAACGCTGTTAAAAATTTGATTGGTAGCTTTCCAGAACTTTCCTCGTGAATTTACAAATACACATCTTTATATAAATATAAAGATGTAGAGGATAAGATTTTTCTACCCAGATAAGTTCATACTACAAGTATTACTAAGTAAATTGCTTATTTCATTTAACTGTGTTTCACAGACTTTTTTCCTGCGTTACTGCCTCCAGATCTAAGAACTTATTTCATACCTCTGACTCCTTTCTACCCCTTTAAGTTCCTTGACTTTTCTTTTTTCTTTTTTTTTTTAAGATTGGCACCTGGGCTAACAAATGTTGCCAATCTTTTTTTTTTTTTCCCCTGCTTTATCTCCCCAAATCCGCCCTGTACACAGTTGTATATCTTAGTTGCAGGTCCTTCTAGTTGTGGGATGTGGGATGCCGCCTCAACGTGGCCTGATGAGTGGTGCCATGTTCGCCCCCAGGATCCGAACCCTGGGCTGCTGCAGCGGAGTGCGCAAACTTAACCACTCAGCCATGGAGCCGGCCCCTCCTTGACTTTTCTGAAAAGCTCATCTCTCTTCATTTCTCTACCCCCCACCTCCCATCCATCCACTCTCACCACCATGTTATTCTGCTCTGACCATAAAATGTAGGGGGACTAGCTCAGAGTGTGTCGAGTATGTCTGGCCTAGCTACTGCTGCCCCACCTTCCTTTTTCAGAACTGGCTGGGCTACACCAAGAAGAGAGCACCCATTGGCTTCCATCGAGTTGTGGAAATTTTGCATAAGAACAGTGCCCCTGTCCAGGTAATGGTTCCTAAAGAGAGTTGGGCACAGGATCCTCTTGTAGACCTAACTTTTAGTCTCTTACTGGTCAGTGATGGTAGACTTGACCTGCTCTGGTCTTATCTTAAAGGCAACATAATGGCTGTACTGGATCTTGAGATAGAAAAGGCCAGGGAGGGAAGTTCTCCTCTGCCCTGTAGAAGTAATCCCAGATGGCTCTCTCTGAGGGATGTCTACAGTGTTTAGCCCGTGTGGAGCACTGACACACTGTTCAAATGACACAGAAGGAGAGCTCACTGAGAAAGGACATCAAGGAGAAATGGGCACAGCACTGAATCAGATCTAGAGTGTGCCTGCTGCTGGCATAAGGCTCTAGGATAAGGAGGAATGCACTCTTCCCTTCTCCACTGGGGGAACATGGAAACACTGCATGGAATCTACCTCATTTCCCATTGCAGAACTAATCCTGTGGTTGATGATGCGAGTTGGAGATGTCAGATTTTGAACTCTTCTGCCTTCTTCAGAAATCTTTTTCTACCTTTTAGAGCTCTGTGTTTTATGGGTCTGAGAATGATAAGTCAGAAGTACCTCTTCCCACAGATATTACAGGAGTATGTCAATCTGGTGGAAGATGTGGACACAAAGTTGAACTTAGCCACCAAGTTCAAGTGCCATGATATCGTCATTGATGTAAGTCCCCAAGAAAGAACCCTGAATTAGACCCTCAGCAAAAAGTGGGGTTTATTCGCTGTCCTCCATCCTGAGATGCTTCCATCAGATTTGACTTAATGACAAAATGGTCTGGCAAGAGGTAGTTTGGAGACCAGCATGCCTGTATTATTTTCCCAGCCCTCTGGCTGATTTCTTTGCTTTTATAAATTTGTTGCTCTTGGAGAATTCATAGACTGAATCAAGCCACATAAGCTCTGTAGACTTCTCTCCAGCATGAAGTTCTGCAGGAGCTTGACCCCACTTTCATTTCACTATAGCCTCCTGGCCTCTTCTTGAACCTTGGCTCAAAGTGGGAGTGACAAAAAGAAAAGGGCCTTCATAGAGAAGGCTAATGGGGGTTTGTGTTGTGTGTTTTGGTGTACAGACTTGCCGGGACCTGAAGGACCGTCAGCAGTTGTTAGCATATAGGAGTAAGGTGGATAAAGGATCTGCAGAGGAGGAGAAGATTGACGCCATTCTCCACAGCTCGGTGAGCAGCTCCAGCTTACCCTCCGGCAGTCTCAGGAGACAGTTCACAAAGTAGCATCAAGGAGACATTCCCAAGGCCTGGGTTGGATTGCAGTTAGCTGAGCCACAGGGAAGTAAGGGTCTCCTGTGGGACTAAAGGTCAAAGGCACTACTTTGAGCAGGAGAAATTACTCCTGAGATGTGGGATGATATAGGGTAATCTGGGGAGCTTGGGCTGAGACTTCACTGTAATGTTCTGATAATTGTTAAACATAGCACGTAGGAGGGACTAACTGCTGGAAGTATAGAGCGAAATGTTACAGATTCAGAATATCTAGACGATATAGTTTCCTGGGGCAGGATATGACCTACCTGGGGGAAATAAAACAGTGTGGGTGAAATAGGTTTTAGCTTTTTGGGGAACACATCTGGCTAGTCTCTCGTAGCATGAAATTGCTGAGCTTTTTGTTAATGTGGAGCTTAGTTCCCCATTAGATATTTTGAGACCTACCCTAGGGTCATCTAAAGCTAGTGGGACCTGAGGAGGGCAGAACCAAAATAAATGCCCTAAATCAGGCTTGTAAGATACCGCATGGGTGTTTAATCCATCTCTGAATAATTGCTAGCTGTGAGCCTTGTTTCCCTCTGCCTCTCTGTAGGGATCAGTGAAAACTGATCATTGTTTGTTCTTTCCACAGCAAATTCGATGGAAGAATTAAGTGGCATTAGTTACCCTGAAAGCTGCCTCATTTCTTCCTTTCCTCCGTGTGAAAGTAGAGAGTGCTCTTCTGTGGGAGAGTTCCAGCATCACATCGTTTGGGCCCGTCGTCAGCAGGCAGTACCTGCTTCCTCTTGGGACAGAAGCCAGCGCCTGGGCACAAACAGCTTCAGACTGACCTTCTGTCCAAGGCCATCATCTAAGGGCCAAGACCTAAAGCTTTGACTTATGAGAAGGATTCTCTCCACCTGGTGCTCACGTGAAGGTGGGAGTGATTTCTAGATTGAGCCCATATTGGGCAAGATCTCTCTTGGTCTGAGAAACATGACTGCTCCAGAAAATAAGTCTCCTAGACTCAGAGGTACAGGTGTCATAGGGTGGCCTCTCCATTCCCTCAGCTAATTGTGACCCTGGACTTGGTGCTGAACATTGGCAGTTTGCTCTGAATGAAGTCAGAACAGAACTGAAATGGCTCTCTCCCAGGGGCCTCAAGAAGGGCTGCCGGTGTTGCCAGGACCTGCTGGAGGCGCCCTCACCCCACACTGCACAGGGCCCTCCCTGTTATGACAGAGATTGCCCAGACGTTGTGTTTCTTCAGCCAGCGTCCATCTGCCGCCCCAGTCTACCCTCTGTCCAAAAGCTTGATTTCCTCTCTGACCTGCACACTGAGATGGCCTTGTGTGAATGATGAGAACATGCCCCTTACCTTTTCCTCTACTTCTCCCACCCCAGACCCATAACCTTATATGGAGCTTGGATTCAGCAGTGCTGGACAGCTCTCCCTTTATGCATAAATGTCGTTATTTTACTAGGAGCTTCCAGAAGTTTCACCAGGGCTAAACTCAGCAGCATTTTTGACTCTTAGGATATTAAGATGGAGGTTTTAGTTTCACACTTGGTTTTCAAGAGAATATTCTGTAATGCTAGATTCTTGCCCTCTACCAATATTAGCCTCTCTTCTCTGTGACTGAACTGGGTTTCCTGGACACGTCTAGTCTCCTAATAAAGCTGTTTCTTCCTTGGTGCCTTCTCTTTCTCTCCTGGTTGTTCTGTGCAGAATAATGAAATAATTGCCCTGTCTCTTGGGACCACTACAAGTCTGCCTCAGTCACTGCATTCAGCAGCCTATCAACACATGTTTGGTTTTGGAGTAACTGCTTATGGGAAAGCAGGGCCGTGTGGTTAACAGAGGGAGCACTGAGCTGGGAGACTAAAGACCTGGCCTCTTGTCCCAGCTCTACCACTGTCAAGCTGTGTGACGCTGGGTGAGTCCCTTTCTCTCTGGACTCGTTATCTTCATCTGTAATAGGAGGGCGTGATTCTCTCAGAGCTTATCTATGTTCCTGTGACTGGAGTGGGTGAAGTGGTGGGAGGAAAAGAGAAGATGCTCATACGGAGGCACACGACATGCTTTAGGGCAATGTGGTTCTCACCTGGAGGCAATTTTGCCCCCAGGAGGTGTGTGTCAATGTCTGGAGACACTTTTTGTTGCACAACTGGATGGTGCCACTGGCATCTAGTGGATACAGGCAAGGGATGCTGCTAAACATCCTGCGATGCATGAGACAGCCCCTACAATGGGGAATTATCCTTCCCAAAAAGTCAGGAATACCAATGCTGAGAAACACTGCTTTAAAGGAACCAGACTCCAACTTTTGCTCCTCCTCTTTGTAATCCCCTTTGCAAATTCCAGGTAACCTCACATTTCGTTCCTTTCCTGATCATCTCTCTTGCTAATAAGGAAACAGGAGCTTAATTTGCTAAGTTGTGCTAAAGTTATTGGCTCATCTTCAGAGAAACAGTTGTAACTTTATTAACTAGTCTATCAGGGTTCATTTAGAGAAGCAGATTGCTAGGAGTCAATTGTTCCCTCTCTCTCTCGCATCTGTATGTGGGATTCATTACAGGGATTTGACCTTACTCAAGTATGGCAGTTGGTTAAACAGTCTCTGGAAGGTTGTCTTCATGTCTGGCAGTAGAGCTGGAAATCCATAGGGCAGACAGTAGGGAAGGGAAGAAGGGTATAAAGTGAGGGAGAGCAGGGACAGCCTGGAGCCCATGGGAATGGATGGGAACCTGTGTCAGTGTCAGTTCTTACTGCCTGCAACCTTGATGAAAGGGGTGTCCTGCAGAAGCTAGCTGGTGGTCTTTGTCACAGAGCTCAACACCCCTGGGCCAGGAGTGTGAGAAGCTGCGGGAAGACCCAGAGGAAGGTGTCGCAGGCTCAGCTGCTACCCCAACCAACAGAGTCACCAGCAGTTAACTGAAGTGCCTGCCGACCTTGCAAGCATAACTACAAAGTGGCTGCTGTTTCACTTCCACCCTCCAGATCTTGCACAAAAATCTTTATGCATTCTCACTGGAAACATACAGGGAAGGGAATTCTGGCAAATCTAGGTCAGCCTAGCCAACTTGACATATTACAAAGCCATAACCACTGAATCCCCAGTTTTGAGAATGTGTAAGTGAAGGATGGGCCTAGGATCCATGTTGATACAAGTTAACTGGTGCTGTGCTTGTCATGCTGACCTGGGAAGTGTTGAGCCGGTCTTTCCTTTAGAGCAGGAAACTTCACTTGCAACATTTTAGTCTAAGGAAGTGTTTGTTAGACTTGAGAACTTGCACGTGCCTCAGTTCAAGTGCTGGAGACTGCTTTTAAAGAGATTGAGAGGGTGACATAACAGCCCTCCTCTAAAAACGATTAAAGAAGGCAGACATCAAAAGTCACGTATTGTATGATTCCCTTCATATGAAATATCCAGAAAAGGTAAATCCATAGAGACAAAAGCAGATTGGTGATTGCCAGGGCCTGAGGGCAGGTGGGGAATGGGAGGACAGTAATCCCTCCTTATCCACAGTTTCGCTTTCTGAGGTTTCAGTTACTTGTGGTCAACTGAGGTCCAAAATATTAAATGGAAAATTCCAGAAATAATTTGTAAGTTTTAAATTGCTTGTCGTTCTGCGTGGCGTGATGAAATCTTGTGCCGTCCTGCTGCATCCTGCCCGGGACATGAATCATCCCTTTGTCCAGCTCCAGGCTGTACACACTACCCGCCTGTTAGTCACTAGTAGCCGTCTCGGTTATCAGATCGCTGTCTCGGTAGCACAGTGCCTGTGTTCAAGTAGCACTTTACTTAATAACGACCCCAAAGTACAACAGTAGTGATGCTGGCAGTTCGCATATGCCAAAGAGAAGCTATGAAGTACTTCCTTTCAGTGAAAAGGTGAAAGTTCTCAATAAGAGAAGAAAAAAATCGTTGTCTGAGGTTGCTAAGATCTACAGTAACTTTTATTACAGTGTATTGTTATAATGGTTCTATCTTATTATTAGTTGTTAGTCTCTTACTGTGCCTAATTTATACATTTAATTTATACAACTTTATCATAGGTGTGTATGTATAGGAAAAAACGTAGTATATGTAGGATTCGGCACTATTCACAGTTTCAGGCATCCACTGGAGGTCTTGGAACGTATCTCCCAAGGACAAGAGGGGACTCTTGTAAATGCTTAATTGGTGTAGGACTTCCTTTGGGGGGAATGAAAATGTTTTGGAACTAGAGAGAGGTCGTGGTTCCACAATGTTGTGAATGTACTGAATAGTTCATTTTAATTGGCTGTGTTATGTGAATTTCACTTCAAAATTTTTTAATTTACAAAGAGGATTAGAGATGAGTAGTTTTGAATTCTATCTCAATTTCGCCATTGCTATAAAATAGATTAGTTTTGAATATCTTTGATTTCTGTTTTTCCAACTTTATTGAGGTATAATTGACAAATAAAAGTGGTTTATATTTAACCTGTCCAATGTGATGACTTGATGTGCATTGTGAACTGATTATCACAATCAAGTTAATTAACATAGCCTCACCTCGCATGGTTACTTTTGTGTGTGTGGTGAGAACACTTAAGATCTACTCTCTTAGCAAGTTTCAGGTATGTGGTAGAGTATTAACTCCAGTCGTGTTGCTGTACATTAGATCCCCAGAACATATTCATCTTATTCATTGACTTCTTAAACACAAAAAGTTGGGGTTGGAAAAATAACTCCTTGAGTCGTGCTAAGATCTGTACGATATTCCAGTCTGCAAAAAGTCTAGAAATCCAGACGTTTTGTTGGGAAGAGGAGGGTCCCATACTGGCCTGGTGGAGCGCTCCCGGAAGCCGAGGAAGGAATTCATGTCCTCATGTTGCGGTCAGGAAAACCTCTAGGTGGGGCTGGCCCCTTTAAGACTCAGAGACTGAAGTAATCTGGTAGCTGAGGAGTCATTATGACAACTTTCTTGGGTAATTCTCCCTGGAAATGTAGTTCCTACCCTCCAGGGCCAGAAGTACTGAGGAGGAGCCATCTTCTGAGTTTGGTTGGTAAGAGATATATGTAGATGAGCTTACACATCTCTGGCTTCATGTTCTTTTTCTTGTTTTTGCTGAGGAATGTTTGCCCTGAGCTAACATCTGTTGCCAATCTTCCCCTATTTTGTATGTGAGCCACTGCCACAGCATGGCCACTGACAGACAAGTGGTGTGGGTCTGCCCCCAGGAACCAAACCTGGGCCACCAAAGCAGAGCCGAACTGAACCACTAGACCACTGGGGCAGGCCTCTGGCTTCATTTTCTAAAACCTAGATGTCCCTGCCCGAGACAGGAGACCGTGATATTTAGTTTGGGGTCTTTTCTACCCTATGGGGAAACACAGTTTAGTGAAAGGGAAGAATTTCTTTGAAGTGTGATCTGAGTGAGTGTTCAGCCCTATTTCTAAAATCTAGGAGGGAATGGAAGGGAGAAGGTCCTGGCCCAGGAGCACCTGTGAAACCCATTGCTAATGCAAATGCATCAGCTGAAAAAAGTGCCCATAGCCTATGCAGAGGAACATTACTTTGGATTTTTGTTCATGTTTTTCATGAATCCAGGTTTTCCTGATTCATGGGTAGCCAGTGCTTGGGAATCCTCCAGGCCTCAAACTCAGATGGAGAAGTGGATGAGAGCCGCAGGTCAGAACTGGAAGGGGAGAGGTGCTTTAGCCTGTCATCACGAGAGCTTGTGACTTGGGCACTCACACTCTGCTCCGCAGACTCCCTCTTCTTCCAGGACAGGGAACCAAATTGATTGGTATCTGTCGCTGCAGGAGATGGTGGCTTGGAAATGGACTTGCTAAAGGACCTTGAGTCCCTGCAGTTTGAGTATGGGGTTCAAGAGGAAGACCACTGCTGGCTGTATTTGCAAGGCCGTTCTCGGGGGCTGATGATCAAGGCCTGTGCCCACGCAACCTTCTTCTGCAAGCTACTCTGTAATTTGAGGTAAGCTAGGTCTCCGAGGTCAGGCAGATGGAGAAGAATCTCACTGTGGAGAATTCAAATGACTTAAACTGTTTATATTGGAGGATAACTTTGGCAGGGGGAGTGTCTTCCTACCTTTTCCAACCCACAGTCAATCATTCCTGGTCTGAAAGCACCAGGGAAATGCATACCAGGTTCCCTTGGCTGTCGTTATGTAATAGAGCAAGCTTGCGTGATTTCCTTTCAGTGGGTGAATTGATTAAATGATCAATTCATTCATCCATTCACTCACCACTCATTGGGACCACCAGCTTGTCTTCCACAGCTACCGATGACTAGCTATTCCATAGCTATTGGCTGAAAATGGGGTTGGTTCTTTCTTTGGGGCTGACCTAATAGTGGAATTCTCCCTCAGGAAAGCCACTTGGGACACTGGGGGTCCTTATGGCCAGGTGACTTGCTTGAAACCAAGAATACTGATTGGCAGAGAAGCTCTTAGTCTGGCCCTGGCTTCTGATATCTTAGTACAATGTGGCTTCAGATACTTAAATAGGAGCCATGGGAGAGCCAGGTAACTAGGACCAGGATCCTGGATTCTGAAACTCCAGGTTACTCCTGGAGCATTTGTCCCCGCCTCAGTCAACTTGTCTCTGAATTAGATCAACTCTTAGATGGTGGGACTAGATCTGAACTGAACATGTTACAGATACAGCAAGGAGGCAGGCTGCTCTCTGAGCTTGCTAAATGGCTGACTGGTAAGGATGCACAGACCTACTGGTTGCATCCCACATGGGTGGTGAGAAACTAATATGTGAAACCTCCAGGAGGCATTTTCTATTTGGAAGGATCAGGCACTGAGAGAAAATGCTCTCCTTTCAACCAAGCCTTCAATAGAATGGGGCTTGTGATGCTTATCTAGAAACTCTAAAGCTTTAAGACTCCAATTTTTACAGAAATACAGACTGTAAGATTGTCATATAACAACATAAAACAATCCCTTATGTATTCAGTGTGTGTTCGCCTTGGGCCAAGGAAACAGATCCAGAACCAACAGTCAGTGAACCTCTGGAAAGAGTGGCCTCAAACCTTTGATCCTCAATTTCTCAGATCTGTTTTCCCTTATAAACCATTTACTTTTAGAAATCATAAGATTTGCAAAAAGCTAAGTTACCTAATTTCCTGGATCTGTACAGAACTGAACTAGCAAACTGGAACGAGTAGGTGTACAGTAGGAAAGGGGTGCCCTTATCCTGATAGCGATGACGCTGACAGCTGTCTGCATAGGAAACAACCCATGAAGGAACCGGCCCACAGTGTTCCCAGACGATGTCTGATAGTGGCTCTTCTCAATGACGGTCCTGAGTCAATGAAATGGTTAGATATTCAGACCTTGTGTTTAAGAAGGCAGGGAAATACACAATACATGTAACAAAAAAATGTTCATTTAAAAATGTTTTAAACAAGTATTGGTTCCTTGAAGGAGTATGCTTTACTTTCTGGAAAATTCACTCAGGCGTTGCTGGATAAGTGGCACATAATTGGAATGCCTTATCTCTGAAGTCCTTAAGGGGCCACCATGCTGCCACATGAGAAAGTTAAAGCAGAGAATGTCAGAGGTGGATGGCAAGAAGAGCTACAGGGTGTGCGTGTCCTTATGTATGCGTCTGTGTGTTCATTCCCCAGAGAATCTTTACATGAGAAGCAAGCTTCCAAATGTCTCTCAACTGGATCTCTTCACACTCCTGATGATGGTGCATTAAAGGTGGGCATCATTGGAGGCGGCCGCCTTGGGAAGCAGCTGGCTCATGTACTGTTTCAGCTGGTCCCCATCCCTGCTGAAAGTCTGCGGATCTCCACTCGGAGGCCAGAGGCCCTGGGTGAGGAGCAGTGTGTGGTAGGAAGGGGGGCTTGGGTGTGCTTTTAGGTACTGACGAGGACATTTTGAAAGAGTCATTTGAAAGAGGAATCCTTGCATGCAGCATGCTTGTTCTCAGCTTGCCAGCCCTGAGACAAGCTAGAAAGATAGTTTTTTAACGTGTTCCTAAAACAACTTTCTTCTCCACTTAAATGTTTTTTTTCCCCTTTTTCTCCCCAAAGCCCCCCAGTACATAGTTGTATATTCTTTGTTGTGGGTCCTTCTAGTGGTGGTATGTGGGACGCTGCCTCAGCGTGGTCTGATGAGCAGTGCCATGTCCGTGCCCAGGATTTGAACCAACGAAACACTGGGCCGCCTGCAGCGGAGCGCGCGAACTTAACCACTCGGCCACTGGGCCAGCCCCTCCACTTAAATGTTTTATATCCATCTCCGTCCTCTGTGCCTTTGGTGGTGAGATATCTTTCTGGGTCTTTGATAGAGAGAAGCTTTCCAAACAGAGTTCAGATCTTCTAACTGGACCACTTAGCAACTGCTAGGTATTAACCAGTTCCAAAGATTTAGACTTGTGTTTTTAAAAATAACATTTACTGAATTTTAAGATGCTTTGTAATGATATCATTTGTTAATCTACGGTGAGAGCGATCAGAACAGTGGTTGTTTCTGGGGAGATTGAGAAGAGGCCCAAGGGAACTTTCTGAGGAGATGGGAATGTTCTATATCTTGAGAGAGGTATAAGTTACGGGGATGTATGAATTTGTCAAAAATGAGCAAACTAGGGCCGGCCCAGTGGTGTAGAGGTTAAGTTTGCACACTCCACTTTGGTGGCCCAGGGATCGTGGGTTCCAATCCCGGACAAGGACCTACACACTGCTCATCAAGCCATGCTGTGGTGGCATCCCACATACAAGAAATAGAGGAAGATTGGCATGGATGTTAGCTCAGGGCCAATCTTCCTCACACACACAAAAAGAGCAAACTATGTACTTCAGATCTGTGTGTTATGCTGTATGTAAATTATACTTCAATGATTTTAAAAATGTAAAATCACATATGTATATTATAGAAAATTTAGAAAATCACTCTATAGGGAAGTAAATAATAACTACCTATAATCTCCTTACCAGGATTATCATTTCCTTCCCATTTTATTCTCTGATTATGTCAGATTATATTCAGTCATTGATACTGTACAAAGTTGTTTGTGTCCTGCTTTTTTCACTTAATGTTTTATGAGCATATTCTCATATTATTTAACATTCTTCAAAATCATGATTTTAAGGTTGTATGGTATTCCAAAGTATGGCTGTATGATAATTTATGTAACTGTGACTTATGTAGTTGGACTTCCTTGTACATAGTTTTAATAATAATATTACCAGTCAAAGAATAGGTACAGCTTTCGTAAGATATAATTTGTATATAATAAACCGCACATTTTTAAAGTGTACGCTTTGACATTTGGACATGAGTATGCACCTGTGGAACCATCAGCGCAATCAAGGTAACGAACTTATTGATCATCCCCAAGTTTCCTTGTAATTTCTCTCTCGCTACCTCCCTGCAGCCCCCCGCCCATGAAACCACTGATCTGAATTCTGTCACCACCGATTAGTTTGCGTTTTCCAGAATATTATTTAAATGGCATCAGTTTGTACTTTTTCTGATCTGACTTTTTTCACCCTGTGTAATTACTTTGAGATATATATCCATGTTGTTTCATGTTGATATTCTTTTTATTTCTGAGTATTTCATTACATGAATAATTCACAGTTTATCTATTCATCTGTTGATGGATATTCAGGTTGTTTCCAGTTTTTGACTATTATGAACATTTGCAAACAAATATTAGTGTGGACAAATGCTTTAATTTTTCTTGGGTAAACACCTGGGGGTGGAATGGCTGGTCATATGGTAGGTACACTTTAATTTTCAAAGAAACTTCTACTATAGGCTTTCAAATTGACCTCCAAAAAAGGTTGTTTAAGAATAAAATACCTTGGGATAAATTTAACCAAGGAAGTGAAAGATCTGTACAACAAAAACTACAAGACCTTCTTGAAAGAAATCGACGACGACATAAAGAGATGGAAAGACATTCCATGCGCATGGATTGGAAGAATAAACATAGTTAAAATGTCCATACTACCTAAAGCAAACTACAGATTCAACGCTATCCCAATCAGAATTCCAATGTCATTCTTTACAGAAATTGAACAAAGAGTCCTAAAATTCATATGGGGCAACAAAAGACCCCGAATTGCTAAAGCAATCCTGAGAAAGAAGAACAAAGCTAGAGGCATCACAATCCCTGACTTCAAAACATACTACAAAGCTACAGTAATCAAAACAGCATGGTACTGGTACAAAAACAGATGCACAGATCAATGGAACAGAACTGAAAGCCCAGAAATAAAACCACACATCTATGGACAGCTAATCTTTGACAAAGGAGCTGAGGGCCTACAATGGAGGAAAGAAAGTCTCTTCAACAAATGGTGCTGGGAAAACTGGACAGCCACATGTAAAAGAATGAAAATCAACCATTCTTTTTCACCATTTACTAAAATAAACTCAAAATGGATCAAAGACCTAAAGATTAGGCCTGAAACAATAAGTCTTCTGGAAGAGAATATTGGCAGTACACTCTTTGACATCAGCTTCAAAAGAATCTTTTTGGACACCATAGCCCCTCACATGAGGGAAACAATAGAAAGAATAAACAAATGGGACTTCATCAGACTAAAGAGCTTCTTCAAGGCAAGGGAAAACGGGATTGAAACAAAAAAACAGCCCACTAATTGGGAAAAAATATTCACAAGTTATTTATCTGACAAAGGGTTAATCTCCATAATATACAAAGAACTCACACAACTCAACAATAAAAAATCAAACAACCCAATTACAAAATGGGCAGGGGACATGAACAGACATTTCTCCAAAGAAGATATACGGATGGCCAATAGACACATGAAAAGATGCTCATCATCACTAATCATCAGGGAAATGCAAATCAAAACTACACTAAGATATCACCTTACACCTGTTAGAATGGCAAAAATATCCAAAACCAAGAGTGACAAATCTTGGAGAGGCTGTGGAGAAAAGGGAACACTCATACACTGTTGGTGGGAATGCAAACTGGTGCAGCCGCTATGGATAACAGTATGGAGATTCCTCAAAAAGTTAAGAATAGAAATACCTTATGACCCACCCATCGCACTACTGGGTATCTATCCTAAGAACCTGAAATCAGCAATTCCAAAAGTTCCATGCACCCCTATGTTCATCGGAGCATTATTCACAATAGCCAAGTCATGGAACCAACCTAAGTGCCCAGCAACTGATGATTGGATAAAGAAGATGTGGTATATATATACAATGGAATACTACTCAGCCATAAAAAAGGACAAAGTCATCCCATTCACAACAACATGGATAGACCTTGAGGGTATTATGTTGAGTGAAATAAGCCAGGCAGAGAAAGACGAACTCTGTATGACTCCACTCATAGGTGGTAGTTAACATGTGGACAAAGAGAACTGATCAGTGGTTGCCAGGGGAAAGGGGAGTGGGGGAGGGCACTAGGGGTGAAGTGGTGTACCTACAACATGACTAATAATGATGTACAACTGTAATTTCACAAGGATGTTAACTTTCATAACCTTAATTAAAAAAAAGGAAAAAAAAAAAAGGTTGTTTAGGTGTAAACTTTCACCAGCATTGTGTAAGAACACCTATTTCACCACATTCTTGTCAATTCTGGGAATCTCTTTTTTTAATCATGACTTTAATATACCTTTTAAACTTTTCTTGTTTTAATATATCTTTCATTGAATATTTTTATGGGCGTATTGCTATTTCATCTTTTTTGAGTTATTTTTGTCCATTTTTTCTGTTGGAGTGCCTTATTTTTCTTATTGATTTGTAAATGCTCTTTCTATATTAAGGAAACCAAAAAATCTTACCACTCAAGGCAAATTCCTTAAATCTCATCAATAGGACTAGTATATATGATATTTCAATAAAGGGCATATATTCTTTGGGAAGCAATATGTTTATTAATAAAAAGTTCCATTTTTATTTATCATGTTGTGTAAAGAAGCAAGAATTCAAAATTTTCAGCATCAGCTTCTATGCACTTTTGAGAACAACACATGAAAGAAGAATGTACATGTTTTCTAAAGTTCCTCTTTGTCCTATTCATCTTCCAGGTTTATGAGTACCAAGACACCCTCAGCATCAAGTTTATCATGTACTCATGGTGATTAAGATAAGCACTGACCCCTCCAATGTCTAATATTCTGTTTTGCAATAACACTTACAACATATTGCCATATGTGAGTTTACATTTTTACTTTTGAAAATCCATATCGCAATAAGCACAATCAAATGATTAACTACCAATGAGTGTTTTCGTGCAACTACGTGAGTTATCTCATTTTCCTCTACATTTATAAATATCTTATTAATATTAAACTGTGTATACTTTACTGAAACTGTAAGTATATTTTCCAAACTCCTGCCAGCCTCGGCCCTAGTCTTCCACTCTTTCCCACCAACCCAAGCCAGTTAGCCATGTAACTTTGGGCAAGTCACATGACTTCTGGAAGCCTCGGTTTCCTCATCTAGAATAAAGGAACGATACTAGTCTCTGCCTCCTAAGGTCCTTGTGAGGAGTCCCTTAGATCACGTACATAAAGTACACTGTAGATTATCAGGCACATGATAAACCTTCAGTGAAGTGGAACAGAAGGCTTCTTTCAGATTTTTTTTCTTCCTAAAAAAAATCTGAAAAATTCTAGCATTTGGTCTGAAAGTAAGATAATGGGGAATTACCTGGAATCTCAAGCAAGGCTGTGGTGGCCCTAGCTGCTTTAGTAATGGCTTAGGCACTGCCCTGCGGCTTTTAGAAGACATGGGCAATCTCTTCTGATGGATGTGGCGACAGACTCGAGATCAAATCCTCCTCCTCCTCTCCCCGCGGGTGCCGTTCAGGTCCGACTCAGCTCCACTGTGATCTCTGTCTTCCTTTATCCCTCCAGCTGAGTTCCGGGAACTGGGAATCCAGTGCTTTTATGATAACCCTTCTCTGGTGGTCTGGGCCGACGTCATATTTCTCTGCTGCCTGCCATCTCAGCTGCCTAAAATCTGCATGGAAATTAACAGCAGCCTTGACAAAGCCTGCATTGTGTACAGCTTTGTGGCTGCCGTCCCAATACCCAGGTATCTTGTTAGGGTGAGCATGGAACTGGCAGAACTGCTGTGTCCTCATCTCTGACTTCTGCCTGCCCCCTCCAGTCCAGCCCCTACTTCTTAGAGCGGGTCACTCTCAGGCATGAGGTGGAAGCAGCTTCCTTGGCAGACGGACCCAGCCACCCTTTCTACTTGTGTTTTCCCCACTTCTCCACGAACAGCATTCATGGGTGGGACATTTTCTTTGATGTGCAGATGTTTACAATGGCAATACAGCATTGCTTGCCACTACTGGAAGCTGACTTGTGTTCCCCTAGTGCATCAACGAGAAGGGAAACCACCCGTCAACAGCACGAAAAGTGATTGAGAGCATGGGTCAAATACTATTTTTGTATCCCTGGTGTCTTGCCCAGTGCCGGGCACATGGTAACATGCAATAAGTGTTTGCTAGGTGGGTGGCTGAACACTCCCGTAACAAGCAGGGCGCTCAGCGCAGACCCACACCCACGTTTGCCTCGGAGCAGGGCTGTGCCGGGGGGTCTGTAGTTGGGTTGGATGGGAAGGCAGTGGATCATGTGGTGGTTTAGTCCAGTCCTGGCCCTGCACTCCCTGTCCTGGTGGCTTTCCTTCCAGGTTGAGACTGCTACTGAACCATACCAGTATCCTGCGGCCTCACTATCAGTGTGGTGATTCTGTCAACATCTGGGGGTCCAAGAAGGACATCACAGCTGCTCTCCAGGATCCTGTGATTCTTCATGCTACCTGCCCCTACAATCCTGCTGGTAATAGCTCACCATATTTTTTGGCACTTGTTTGAAAATTACCCTCCTCTTGGACTCTTGCTATCTTATTAAATCCGTGTGTGTGTGTGTGTGTGTGTGTGTGTTGGAGTTGTGTGGAAAAGTACAAGCTAGATACATTCTCAGCTATTTAGTTTTGTAGGGGAACAGCTTTGGTGGCAAAAAGCAGCCTTTATTAGGGAAAGTTGAGAAGTCTGATTATCTGGACCGTTTAGGGATGAACTGGAAACAATTTAAACAGGAGGATGCAGTGTCTGGGACTAAAACGGCTTTTCCCTGCTCTACTCTTGCAGTTTTCCCTAGTCCCTTCTTATTGACAAGAACCTTTCTAGAGGTTTTTAGAGATGATTTTGCCATTAGCGATGTCTGCAGTAGTTCTACCTGTTGTCCTGTGGTAGGGTCAACACACACTGCGTTATAAAGGGCACAAGCAGGGCTCTTGGCCTAGGAAGGAGTAGTGTTTGCTTATCCTGAGGTTCATATGACCAGCCTGTCTTGGAAAAAAGGTGGCCGTGCACTGTCTGGGTTCGTCCTGGGTTGCCCGCAAACCTTTCAGGTGGTGCTAACTGGCATTTCCTTCTCATTGCTGTGTAGGGGGAATTGTCCTCAATATCAAGTGGCTGGAGGGAGTCTTCTATGCCGCCCTAAACGTCTGCAAGGCCAGGGAAATGCCCCACTTACAAGTGCTGCAGCTTCTGAACGGACTGTTCCTCTCCGTGCACTTCGAAAGCTGTGGGAAAGATGGAGCGTCCTGCCCCAAATTTCAGTTAGTAGATTTTGTCAGCAAAGTCTACGCCAAGAACCTACCTCAGAGAAGGTAAGGTATCAGACAGCTAGCCATTCTAATTTCTCCCACTCTTGTCTTTTTTTTTTAAGATTGGCACCTGAGCTAACAACTGTTGCCAATCGTGTTTTTTTTTCCTTCTGCTTTTTCTGCCCAAATCCCCCCAGTAGATGGTTGTATATTTTAGTTGTGGGTCCTTCTAGTTGTGGCATGTGGGACACTGCCTCAGCATGGCTTGATGAGCGGTGCCATGTCCACGCCCAGGATCTGAACTGGCGAAACCCTGGGCCGCCAAAGCGGAGTACTTGAACTTAACCACTCGGCCACGGGGCCTGCCCCTGTTGTCTTAACAGATGCTTTTTTCCTTTTTTCCTTTCACGTTATCTTAAAAAATTTATAAAGAGAATAGATTCTTGTAAAAAATCCAACTAGTGGAAAAGTGAAAGCCCTTTTAGCCCCAAAATACTATTTCCTAGACTTTACTTCTAATGGTTTTTGTATTTTTGTCTTTTTATCTTTGCCTGTACAAGCATATATTTATATTGTCATTATATTATAATGTGTATGCATATATGCATTTTACTTTTGTGAGGAAGATTGGTCCTGAGGAAGATTGTCGCTGAGCTAACATCTGTGCCAATCTTCCTCTATTTTGTATGTGGGACACTGCCACAGCATGGCTTGATGAGCGATGTGTAGGTCCACACCTGGGATCCAAACTCACGAACCCTGGGCTGCCAAAGTGGAGTGCACGATCTTAACCACTGTGACACTGTGTCAGTAATCATCGATGGCCTGTGACATTTTCAGTTTGGTGATTTTCCTTCCCCCGATCCTTGTTCCCTTCACCTCTCTCTTGTGCTGATCTCTTTCCTGGATCCCTCTTCCTTTGGTGTGGTTTACTCCTTCACTGTGGTAGATCGTATCCTCCTCCAGTAGCTTCCTTAGAAGAGGATGCATAGGAAGCAATTTTTAAAGACTATGTCTGAAGATGTTTTTATTCTTGCCTGCTATTCTATTGAGAACATAGCCAGGGATAGAATTCTAGGTTAAAAATAATTTTCCCTCAGAATTTTAAAGGCATCGCTCGTTGTCTTTCAGCGTTTAGAGCTGCTGCTGAGAAGGTGCAGTGCCGTTCTAATTCTTGAATTCACCCTTTGTCTGAAACGTGTTTCTTTTCTCTCTGGAAGCTTATAGGATCTTTTCACCTCAGTATCCTGAAATTTTATGATGTGTCATGATGTGGGTCTATTTTAATTCACTGTGTTGGCCTCTTGATGGGCCTTTCCTTTTATTCTTTTTCTTTAACTTTAAACAAACTGTGAAATATAACATACACAGAAAATGCACATTCCATAAATTCATAAACTGTTTAATGAATTATTGTAAAGCAAATACTCATGTAACTGCCACCCATAAAAGAAAGAACACCAGTGGTCCTTTTGATTTTGGATCGCAAGTTCTCCAGCTGTATCTTTGATAATTTCCTCCCTTCTCATCTGTTTTCTCTATTCTCTCTTTCTGGATATGTTAGTCAAATGTTAGACCTCCTGAACCAATCCACTGATTTTCTTCCTCTCTCCTATTTTCAGTATCTTTGTCTTTTTATTGTGCTTTCTGAGAGATTTCCTCAACTATATTGTCTTTGCTCTCATATTTTGAGCATATTTTCATTTTTGCTGTATTTTGATTTTCAAAGATTTTCTTTTTTGAAGATCCAAATATTTTTTTTTTTTTAGATTTTTAAAATTTTTTCCTTTATCTCCCTAAAGCCCCGCAGTACATAGTTGTATATTCTTCGTTGTGGGTCCTTCTAGTTGTGGCATGTGGGACGCCGCCTCAGCGTGGTTAGATGAGCAGTGCCATGTCCGCACCCAGGATTCGAACCAACGAAACACTGGGCCGCCTGCAGCGGAGCGTGGGAACTTAACCACTTGGCCACGGGGCCAGCCCCTCCAAATATTTTTTATGTGGCATCCTGTTGTCATTTCACTAGGCAATACCATCTCTTATCCCTGTGAGAATATAAATGATAGAGTTTTTTCTCTGAAGAGTTTCCTCCAAGTTGCTTTCTGATTATTTGTTTTGGTCTCTACCATTCATTTTAGAGGGTTTCTTCAAGTGTATGGAGAACCTTGACTGTTTGCTCATATTTAAGATCCTGGTTACTGAAAACTTCACTGGGAACTCAGTGTTCGCTACTGTGGTCTTTACTACAGAGAGATTTGGTAAGCTGTTTCCTTGGGAAACCCTGAATATTGATATCTTTAAGTCTTTGGGACCCAACTTGGGTAAAGAAAGCTGTGTGTGTGTGTGTGGAGGAAGACAGGTGGTCTTATCACTCAGTATGTATTTTTTCACTTTATTTCTCCCCTTTTCAGCAAATTCCTGCCCTCAAGAGGCCTATGGTCCCCCTGTTCAGAGACCCTCTGTCTAACCCTCTCCAGAGAATACCACTTCTGCTGGGGAGAGGGAGGGATACTCTCTTGATTGTGCAGCGTTGGGAGTACCATTACTGGGAGGGTCTCATCTTTTTAAGATTTTCAACCCATCAGCCTGTTTGTAGCCCCATCTCACCCTCACTTCCAGATGTACTGGTCCACTGCATCCCGAGTCTTGAGGGCTCTGTGATGTAAATGGACTGCGCCTTGGCTTTCCCTGTTGCTGACTCAGGATTCAGCTCCATGTCATTTTTTGGTCCATTTTCTTTCTAGCTTCCAAACTTGTTGCTCTTGTGTCCTCTCTCTTTCTCATTTTATGTTCTTTGCCTATTTTTCTTTTCGATTGTTTGCTTTTATTTATTGTTTATAGGAGGTTTTCAGGAGGAATATGTTATGTGCATTGGAAATATTTTTCATTTTATTTCTCTTTTTGGTATCTTTTGCTGTTCAGAGGATTCTAATTTTTGTGGTCAAAATTGTCCAATCACTTCTTTATGGCTTCAGGGTTTCAAGTTATGAAGACCCTCTTCATCCAAAGATATTCTATATTTTCTTCTGGTATTTTATTTTTAAAATATTTAAATAATCAATTTGGGATTTTTGATATCTTTTATTCATTTTGGAAAGCCAATTGTCCTAACACTATTTATAGAGTAGCCAATCTTTTCCTACCAATTTGAAATATGATTTTATCATTGATAAACTGCAAGATATTCATGGGTATATTTCTAGACTCTATTCTGAACTGGGGACCTATCACTGTATTCCCATGCTATAATTAATTACTATACTGTCCACCTATACTTTGGCATCTGGTAGAGCAAGTCCTCTTCATTATTATTTTCCAAAATCTTAATCCTTCTCACACGTTTATTCTTTTATGTGAACTTTAAAAAAAATAACTTGAAAAATTAGGAAAGTAACAAATGTTGGGGCTGGCCCAGTGGCATAGTGGTTTAAGTTCGCAGGTTCGGATCCCAGGTGCAGACCTCTGCACTGCTCATCGAGCCATGCTATGGCAGCACCCCACATGCAAGACAGAGGAAGACTGGCACAAGCGTTAGCTCAGCAACAGTCTTCCTCAAGCAAAAAGAAGAGGATTGGGGGCTGGCTCCGTGGCACAGTGGTTAAGTTTGCATGTTCCACTTTGGCAGCCCAGGGTTTGACAGTTTGGATCCCGGGTGCAGACACGGCACTTCTTGTCAAGCCATGCTGTGGTAGGCGTCCCACGTATAAAGTAGAGGAAGATGGGCACAGATGTTAGCTCAGGGCCAGTCTTCCTCAGCAAAAAGAGGAGGATTGGCAGCAGATGTTAGCTCAGGGCTAATCTTACTCAAAAAAAAAAAAAAAAGAGGTGATATGGTTCTGGGTAAATATAGATGGATGCTGATGAAATATTCTTGCCAAAAAAATTGAACCTGAATTTGATCAAGTCTATACATATAATTACCTTTTTATAGGCAATTCAAGAGACGGGAAAGTGTTAAGTGACTATGAGATATAATCAGCAAAATCCAGAATGTGGGAAACTTTAGAAGACAAACAACCCAATTTCTTCAACAAATAAACAGAGAAGAAAAAAAAGAGGAAGGGGACCTTATAGATTATAAAAAGACTTAAAAGTCACATTAACCAAAATGCAGGTATAGACTTGGTTTCATATTTTTCCCCTCCTGTAATTAATGTTGTAAACGACATAAGTAGATTTCCTAATGTCAAGCTTTCCTTGCATTCTTAAATAAACCCTATGTAATAATAACACTTCCAGATGTTTCCTTGCAATTTATTTAAGATATTTACATCTACACTCATGACTGAAATTGGTATGTAGTTTTCAAATTTGGTATCAACGTTGTATTAACTTTATAGAATTAGGAAGCCTTTATCATTGCATCATAGAACAGTGTAAGTAACACAGAAATTACAGATTTCTTGAAGGTTTGACAGAACTTAACTGTAGATCCCTCTGGCCCAAATAGCTTTTGGGGGAGGTTGAAATTTGACTATCTTTTCAGTTTTTCTAGTTTATGATCTATTCAGATTTACTACTTTTTGAGTCAATTTTGGTAATACCTAGCAAAAATATTTCATTTTTATCTGGATTTCAAATTTGATGGCATAAAGTTGTACTTATATTTTCTTTTTTTGGTGAGGAAGATAGATTGGCCCTGAGCTAACATCCATTGCCAATCTTCTTTTTGCATGAGGAAGACTGTGCCTGAGCTAAAATCTGTGCCAAACTTTCTCTACTTTGTATGTGGGATGCTGCCACAGCATGGCTTGATGAGTGGTGTGTAGGTCCACACCCTGGGATCCGAACCCACGAACCCCGGTCTGCCAAAGTGGTGCATGCAAACTTAATGACTACACCACCAGGTCAGCCCCTGGGCTGTTGTTTTTTAACTCAAGCATTTCCATTTTTATCTTTTTTTTTTCCTGCTTTCTCTCCCCAAATCCCCCAGTACGTAGTTGTATATTTTAGTTGTGGGTCCTTCTAGTTGTGGCATGTGGGACGCCGCCTCAGCGTGGCCTGACGAGTGGTGCCATGTCCACACCCAGGATCTGAACCAGCAAAACCCTGGGCTGCCAAAGCAGAGCGTGAGAACTTAACCACTCAGCCACAGGGCTGGGCCCCCATTTTAATCTTTAATAATTAGTTCCTTCCTCTTTTCTTTTGCTTTATTTTGTGGTTCTTTTTCTTAGCTTCTTGAATTAAATATTTATGGCTCATAAAATTTCAGTCACATTACTATTATAAAAATAATAAGAGCTAAGAATGTTCATCTAATCTCTTTAGCTATGTGCTATTGGCCTTTGAAATAACGATTACATTGTTGGGCACAAAGTCCCTGTGTTATTCAAATTTGCTACATCTTGCTACTCAAACTACCTGGGATCCATGCCATCATCTGGGAGTTTGTTTAGAAACACAGAATCTGGGGCCCCACCCTAGATATATGGACTCAGAATCTGCATTTTTACAAGATCCCAGTGATGCGCACGTTAATGTTGGAGAAATACTGCTCTACATTCTCTTTCATCAGATCTGTGAGAATGAGAGGGATGGCATATTAATATTGTCACTGTAATTGTGGTTTCTGAAATTCTCTATGTTTCTAATCATCTTTGTTTTATAAAGTTTGAAGCCATATCATCTGATGAATAAAAGTTCATAATTTTTATATCTTCTTGGTGGATTATACTTTTTAATGGTATCCCCCCTTTTTTCAATTAAACTTTTTCTTTTGAGATTCACAAGCAGTTAAGAAATACAAAGAAATCTTATGTACTTATTTATCCAGTTTCCCTCAATGGTACAAATTATATACAGATATTGTAAAACTATAGTACAAGACCACAACCAGGATTTCGACAGTGATGCAGTCGAGATATAGAACAGTTCTATCATCAAGCAATCCTGTATGTTGGCCCCTCCTCCCCAACTTGGCAACCATTCATCTGTTCTCCGTTTCTATGATTTTGTCATTTCAAGGCTGTTATTTAATGGAATCACATAGTCTGCAACCTTTTGAGATTGACCTTTTTCATTCAGTGTAATTCTCTGGAGATTCATCACAGCTGCTGTGTGCATCAATAGTTTATCCCTTTTGATTGCCGACTAATATCCTGGTGTGGATGTACCACAGTTTGTTTAATCATTCCCCTGGTGAAGGACATCTAGGTTGTTTCCAGTTTTTGGCTATTATGAATAAAGCTATGAACATTCATGTACAGGTTATGGGGGAACATAAGTTTTCATTTCTCTGGGACAAATGCTCAGGAATGCAATTCCTGGCTCATATGGTCGTTGAATGTTTTTCATTTTTATTTTTATTTTATTTTTTGCCAGTCTCCCTCCCCCCCCTCCCCCTTACCCTCCTCCTCCTCCTCCTTCTTCTTCCTCTTCTCCCCAAAGGCCCCCAGTACAGTTGTATATTCTAGTTGTAGGTCCCCCTGGTTGTGCTATGTGGGACGCCGCCTCAGCATGGCTTGATGAGTGGTCCCATGTCTGTGCCCAGGTTCTGAACTGGTGAAACCCTGGGCCACCAAAGTGGAGTGCACGAACTTAACCACTCGGCGACAGGGCCGGCCCCTGAATGTTTATTTTTTTTAGTCACTGCCAAACTGTTCCTCAGAAGTGGTTGTACCATTTAAAATTATCACTAGCAATGTATGATCCAGTTTCTCTGCATCCTCATGAGCATTTGGTGTTGTCACTTAATTTTATTTTATCATTACACCTATAGATTAATTTGTGGAGACTTGCTATCTTTATTATGTTGAGTTTTTCCATCTATGAACACAGTATGTCTCTCCATTTATTTGCATCATCTTTGATTTATTCATCAACATTTTGTAGTTTTCAGTATGCAAGTCCTGTACATGTTTTGTTAGATTTACACCTAAGTATTCCTTTTTGTGTGTGTGAATGGAATTACATTTTTAATTTTGGTGCCCAAGTGTTCACTGCTAATATATATAAATACAATTGATTTTTGTATGTTTATTTTGTATCCTGCAATCTTGTTGAACTCATTTATTAGTTCTAGGAGATTTTTTTGTGGATTCCTTGGGATTTTCTACATAGGCAATTATGTCATCTATAAATTGGGACAGTTTTATTTCTTCCTTTCCTATCTGTATGCCTTTTCTTCCCTTTTCTTGCCTTAGTGCACTGGCTACAACTTGCAGTATTATGTTGAAAAGAGTGGTGACAGCAGAAATCCTTGCCTTACTCCTGATCTTTTTAACACTGTAACAACCCTATGTCTTAATGCTTTTTAAATTAATATTACTTAAATTATTTAAATTAACAAATTAACATTGCTCCATTTTCATTTGCATATTAACTTCTACTTCTTCCCCTATACAGTTGAACAGGGTGTCTTTTTTTTTTTAAGAGGATATCTTAAAAGAAATGAGATCTTCTCCATTCCTAATGTCCATGATCCTCTTATGTATTCTCTTCCTAAATCAAGGAAAATATACTGAAAAGGATGTGGATGTCATTATTGTAATCATTGTTTAATTATGAATTCCTCCCCAAACACACTTAGAGAAATGTACATAAGTGTGAAAACTCATCATAAGTAAAATTAAATAAACATTGAATAGTTCCAGCTGAATTTTAAATTTAACCATGAATTTTGATTAGTTTGATAAGAAAATGAAGAACTTTTTTTCCAAGTGGAGGAAAACTTTCTTTAAAGGAAATGTTTAACAGCCTAATCAGATATATGGAAAAGACAAAAAAAGTAACAGTATTTATTTTTCACCCCAGGCCTTTCCCCTGGTTTGATCTGACTGCTGTGCAACTCAAGGAAACTCCCTTTGGCCAGCATCTCTCAACCAGGACTGCTCTCCAGGACCACCTTACCCAACTATATTGTGATTCATTTGGTGTCTCTCTAACCAAGGAACAACGGCCAGTGGTTTGCCCAGGCTCTCCTTCCCAATAAGCGAACAGACCTCAGGAATCAGGATTTTTTCTCCCTCTACAATGGTTGTGCCCTGACCATCACAATTGACGGAGTCATGTGACTGTATGGTGTTTGCCATATGTTAGGCACTCAGGAATCAGAAATTGTACTGATGGCTCTTTAAGATGTAGAATAAAACAAGAGGTCCTTTACATCAGCATATTTGGCTATGTCTGGCTTTTGGAGGCAACCAAATGAAACTACCTAACTGGACACACTTAAGTAAGCTGCTTCCCCAGGAAAGCCTTGTTAATACAAACCATCTCTCGTGTAAAAGCTAAATTCAAGGAGTTATAACGTCATTATTGGGCAGTTTCATACTGTAGTGTCCTTCCTTTAGCAGTATGTAGCTGACAAATGATGCAGCTTGATTTTCCTCTCATTTTGGATAGAGAAGTAAAATGTGTGGTAAACATTCTTAATTGAATTAGACTCATTTCATGTTTATTTCAGCTATATATGACTGTTATTGGTACTATCTTATTTAAAGCAGTTTGCATTTGAACCATTTAAAACCATAAAACCATTTTAAAAAATAGCTGGCATTTATATTAAATGGCTAAAAAAATTTTTCAAAATATAGCTCATACTCCTACAATAAGATCTATATTTTATTTCCTTATATTTTGGAAATACTTTGTCAATTATAAAAGAGTAGAAAACAACAGCAGTGAGCATCAAGTTGAGAAAGGATGACACTGACTATGCTGTCATTGAACAGAACCATTGTTTGCTAAACGCTAAAGTGCTTCTGATCAAAACCATTCACTATACATGGAAACCACCATGGTCTTAGGTTAATCATTTATGTTTGTCCTTTTTGCATAATTGCGAGCTAGGCAAACTCAATGGTGTGGTGTTGAATGGTTTGAGATAAAATTTTGTTAGTTCAATCTGGGAAAAAATTAGGTTCAACATCAAACATTAACACTTGTTATGAATGCTAATTTGAGGCGCTGTTCCTTCTCTCACTAGGAAAAGAAAAAGAAATGGATTCCTCCGAGTGTTCATGCAGGTGCAGGGCACTGGACAGGGTACAGCACTGCCCTTCTGGCTAAGGGTAGCCCTATAGTGGTTTGTAGGATTAAGAAATGAGATGGGGAAGAGGAAGTGCAGTTAAGTCTGTAAAACTAGAGAGGAACTGGCATCATTCAAGCAACAAGAAATATTTTGTAATTTGGAAAATGATAAACAGAAACCTCATTAAAATGGAGTCGAGAGGCCAAAAGGGGGAGCTCTCACACCCCACTTTGATAGCAGAGCCCAGCAGGAGGAAGAAAGACTTCCTCTTGACTGGCAAGCGGCTCTGCCAAGGACAGCCTGCCAGAGCTCAGCCAATGATAAACCACCACACTTCGAACTCTCAATTCCTCCAGTGGACTCCTCATTTATAACAGCCCTCCCAAATTCCTCTTCGCCTGTATAAAAGGGTTTTCTCTTCCCCTTGCTGCTCCATACTTGCACATAGCCTGCCCTGGTTGCAGATCCTGAGTTGCAATTCTTTGCTGATCCCAAATAAATTCATTTTTGTGGGAGAAATAACTGGCTATCTACTTGTTTAAGGTGAACAGCAATTTCTTTTGAGCAGTCCAGTCATGGGTAGACTCTCGCCTGAATTTCATTTTATAAAGGTCTGGAAGGCACCACATAAAAAAAAAACCTATGGTCACTGGTACTTCTATAAGCCATGTTATTTGTAAGGATAAATAGAAATATAAAAACATTTAAAAAAAATTTTCTCTGATGCCAAAAGGGAAAAAGAACTTCCCTCTCCTTTTTCTTAAAATATTTCCTTTAGAAAACTTGTAATTTAAATCATTTTTCTCTGTTTTTGAGATTGGTGTAAATCTTTTAAAAAGCTGAATAAGCTGTCTGCCATTTTAACATCCCAGGACTACGTTTTGGTGGGCCTTGGGGCTCTCTCTGTGAAACGTGAGTATCGAGGAGGAGGGCACCTCGTCTCCCTGACCTGGAGTTTGGCCTAAGTGCCTGGCTCCAAGTAGTAACTTCCTGGTTGTCATGAAGAGATGGAGAGGTTTTATTTTTCTTTTGGACGTGGACAGTTAACACGTAAGTTATGGATTGTATCTGCCGGGCAATATAAAAGGTTGAGATCTCCTTGTCTTTGCAACTCTTCAGCAGCTTACCTGTGACGTGCATCACAGTCTGATTTCATGCTGACTCAACAATAAAACTGTTTCTTTTCCTGCCTTTGTGGAGAGGATTATCTGGGTTGGCAGGAGACTTTACCTGTAATTCTATTTCCCCAACATGTTCTTACTACCAGATACCGATACTAGAATTTATCAGGAATTCTTACAATTACCCAGAAAGAGAAATATTGCTATCTCTGTTTTAACGAGGGGCTAAATTGATACACAAAGAAAGGGAAGGTGCTGTGAACGGGTGATAGAACTAGGAGCAGGCCAGCAGTTCTGACTCTGATCCTTAATGAAGAGGAGAAAAAGAAAACCCAAAAAGACCACACTTCTTCCCCCAAGCGATTTAGTTTGATCTTTCAAGCTAAGTGAAATGGCTTTTCCCTATGGTTCAAAGTAATATAATGCTTCCTTCTCTTCAGGGGCAGTTATTTGTGGAGCATAATCCTCTAATCTGGCTTCTTTCACAAATTCAGAGAAGGTCAAGGAATCAGATTTTACCCCAGAATGACCTTTTTGCTCTAAAAATAAGCCGATATTGTCCCTATAGGGAAGGGCGATGGTGCGTCTGAATAATGGCTCTTCAATTCCCAGCAGCTCCCGAGTATGCTGAGAAATTACCTGAAATACAAGGATAATTGTTTAACGGGACTAACCTGGAAATATAACTAAATCCAAGTTTTACTTAGTGTCCTAGGCCCCTTGAATGCTAACCCCTTTAGTTATTTCTAGGGGAAAATAAAATAATGAAATAACACATTGAAAGGCTAACTAAGCTGGCCTTATTTGATTTATTATCTTTTTAAAAGTACCATTTAAAGATGTTTCTAGGCCCTTGCATCAGATGGCCACTGAAGGGTTAATTTCTTTCTTTTTCCCTCAGCAATCTGACCAACCATATGAACATATGATAATGTTCAGATTAGGAACCATGACTATCTTTGGGAAAGTTAATAAATAACTTGTCTATAAGAGGCTCAGTTAATGTGCAACTAGAAAAAAAATCATTACTCAAATAGTTACTCAGTTTCTTTGACTAAAAATAAATGCCAAACACTAAAAAGCAGACATTAAATTTCCAGCTGTTTTATTAGTATCTATTCTTGTATATTCTTTTAAAAATCTTTTGCCACAAGTTTCAGTGTCTCTAAAACATAATTGGTATTCACTGAGCATCATGCCACTTGATATCCTAAACTGCCACTGCATTTTCAAATTCTAGTTTTAATCATAGGTCTGTTATAATGTTGCTATTTGAATTCATATTCTGCATCTGGATGAGAATGTAGTCCATGAAATTCCTGCTAGAACACAGCCAAAGGAATATGTGGAATTTTTTTTTTAGTTTAAAATTACTGGCCATAGTTTCAAGGCTGTAAAATTCATGCCACAGACAATTCTAAACCTGATGCAAAACTGCCCTTTAGCAATGCATTTTAGAGAGGCAAGACATCTTTCTTCTCAAATCTTACTTGAATTGGTTTTATTTAGACTCTAGAGGTGGTTTGTGGGTAAAAGACAGAGAGTCTACATGGTTGCCTTGCATCCCAAAGGGAATACTAATTGAGGTCTGTAGCAATTGAGGTTTCTAAGATTTGAGATCCAAATTACTACAGGAGGCTCTTAAGAATTCTGATTTGTAATTGAGGCCGCTCAATGCTCAGCACCTTGCACCTCAACTCTCCTTTAGAATGCCCCTTACCGGAAGAGGTTATTTCACAGATTCACTGAGGTTTACATATGGTGCCCCAAGGAAGGACCTTGTAGTCATAAACACATTCAATATTAACCAAAAGAGCTATGTGCTTACTGTTGGCCGAAAGAGGCCAGTACTGTTGAATATTCAAATGTAGAAATTAAAGGTGTTATAAAGCTATTGGTTACATGTGGAATCAGGAAATATAATCTAACCATCTCTTCCCTACTTCAGTGATTCTTAAGGTACATCTGAGGTTCATCGATGGACCATAAGGGTCCTCTCATGGGCTATAAATTAATCTAAAACTGTGAGTTCTTTCTTTAGTTCTGATGAATAACAAGCAACAGACTTTATTTTTGCCTAAGACTTAAAGTAACTTACTAGCAACTTACTTGGGTTAGTAAGGATTATTAAAAATAGGTATGCATGAATGTACATGGATTGGAAGAATAAACATAGTTTAAATGTCCATTCTACCTAAAGCAATCTACAGATTCAACGCCATCCCAATCAGAATCCAAATGACATTCTTTACACAATTAGAACAAAGAATCCTAAAATTCATATGGGGCAACAAAAGACCCTGAATTTCTAAAGCAATCCTGAGAAAAAAGAACAAAACGGGAGGCATCACAATCCCTGACTTCAAAACATACTACAAAGCTACAGTAATCAAAACAGCATGGTACTGGTACAAAAACAGGTGCACAGATCAATGGAACAAAATTGAAAGCCCAGAAATAAAACCACACATCTATGGACAGCTTATCTTTGACAAAGGAGCTGAGGGCATACAATGGAGAAAAGAAAGTCTTTTCAACAAATGGTGCTGGGAAAACTGGAAAGCCACATGTAAAAGAATGAAAATTGACCATTCTTTTTCACCATTCACCAAAATAAACTCAAAATGGATTGAAGACCTAAAGGTGAGACCTGAAACCATAAGGCTTCTGGAAGAAAACGTAGGCAGTACACTCTTTGACATCAGTATTAAAAGGATCTTTTCGGACACCATGCCTTCTCAGAGAAGGGAAACAATAGAGAGAATAAACAAATGGGACTTCATCAGATTAAAGAGCTTCTTCAAGGCAAATGAAAACAGGATTGAAACAAAAAAACAACCCACTAACTGGGAAAAAATATTTGCAAGTCATATATCTGACAAAGGTTTAATATCCTTAATATATAAAGAACTCTCACAACTCAACCACAAAACATCAAACAACCCAATCAAAAAATGGGCTGGAGACATGAACAGACATTTCTCCAAAGAAGATATACTGATGGCCAATAGGCACATGAAAAGATGCTCATCATCGCTGATCATCAGGGAAATGCAAATCAAAACTACGCTAAGATATCACCTTACACCCGTTAGAATGACAAAAATATCTAAAACTAATAGCAACAAATGTTGGAGAGGTTGCGGAGAAAAAGGAACCCTCATACACTGCTGGTGGGAATGCAAACTGGTGCAGCCACTATGGAAAACAGTATGGAGATTCCTCAAAAAACTAAAAATAGAACTACCATACGATCCAGCCATCCCACTACTGGGTATTTACCCAAAGAGCTTGAAGTCAGCAATCCCAAAAGTCCTGTGCACCCCAATGTTTATTGCAGCACTGTTTACAATAGCCAAGATGTGGAAGCAACCTAAGTGCCCATGAACAGACGAATGGATAAAGAAGATGTGGTACATATATACAATGGAATACTACTCAGCTGCAAAACAGAACAAAATCATTCCATTTGCAATAACATGGATGGACCTTGAGAGAATTATGTTAAGTGAAATAAGCCAGCAAGAGAAAGATAATCTGTGTATGACTCCACTCATATGAGGAATTTAAAACTATGGACCAAGAACACTTTAGTGGATACCAGGGGAAAGGTGGGGTGGGGGGTGGGCACAAAGGGTGAAGTGGTGCACCTACAACATGACTGACAAACATTAATGTACAATTGAAATTTCACAAGATTGTAACCTATCAATAACTCAATAAAAAAAATAGGTATGCATGAGGATTATTAGAGTTTTCTAAATATTCTTTTTTCTTTTTAAAGATTGGCACCTGAGCTAACATCTGTTGCCAATCTTCTCTCTTTTTTTTGGTTCTTCTCCCCAGAGCCCCCCAGTACATAGTTGTACATTCTAGTTGTAGGTCCTTCTGGCTCTGCTGCATGGGACACTGCCTCAGCATGGCTTGATGAGCAGCGCTAGGTCTGTGCCCAGGATCTGAACCAGCAAAACCCTGGACCACTGAAGTGGAGTGTGCAAACTTAACCACTCAGCCACGGGGCCAGCTCCCTAAGTATTCTTAATTCCACCTTCCAGGATGGTGGCCTACACTCAATGCTTGGCCTCACTGCAGAGCATCTACTTCACATGGTCTCAGGCAGATATTTGTAACACCTATAGTTTTCAAGAAGATTCTGTCATTACTATATCATCGTTGTATCTTCTGGCGATTATGGTTTTTGAAGGCTGCTATTCTTGTTCGTATTTGTAAATTACTGACGGCTTTGCTTCATCATTACTAATTTATTGCAGACTGTTTAGTTACCTTAGAGTATGTAACTATGCACATTTGCAAAGTTGGAACCTATAATTTACTTTAATTAAACCTAAAGACGTAATTGTGTGGTTTCAGTATGAATTGCCTGTCCCACTACTATTAAAGCAGGTGTACAGTTTCCTTAAAAGCTGCTTTTTGGTTCACACCACAACATGGGTCAATCTTAAATGCATTTTGCTAGGGGAAAGAAGCCAGACTCAAAGCTTCCATTTATGTGACATTCTGGAAAAGGCAAAACTACAGGGACAAAAACCAGGTTGGTCGTGGCCAGGGACTGAGGTGGAGGGATGAGCTGACTACAAAGGGGAAAACAAGGGGAATTTTAGGGTGATGGAATTGCTCTGTATGGTTCTGTGCTGGTGGATATGTGGCTCTGTGCATTTGTCAAAACCCACAGAACTGTACACCACAAAGAGTGACTTGACTTTATGCAAATTTTTAAAGAGCCAGGATGTTTTGGGAACCCATGATGGAATATAGGCTGTGGACAAATGAATCCAACTGTATTACAAAGAAAGACATCATCTCACTGAAGGGGGCAGAGAAGAAAGGAGCTGACCTCAACAACTTTACCTTTAAAAACAGCGCTTTGTTCAGGTAGTGTAGGCTAAAGACAGAAAGAACTGTACACAGATGCTGACTCTATTTGTCAATTTGTTTCTCGTAGGGATACCTATTTATAAGTAGGGAGAGCCAGGTCTCTCACTGTCAGAAAAAGGAGTTGTAAAGAAGCAAAATGGGGTAGGAAGGATGGGAAGATTAGAATGAACCCTGTGGGGCTGGACTAGAGCCAGAGATATCAGCATGAACTCATGCTTACAGATATATGATAGAAATTTGTGTACACTTGGGTTAGTACATACATATATTTCCTACATCTTTCTGCTGAGAGTGTCTAGAAGCAGTGACATCCCAGCAGCAATAAGCACAACTGGTGCTCACTTCTTGGTTTCTTTTTTTTTTTTTTTGAGGAAGATTAGCCCTGAGCTAACTACTGCCAATCCTCCTCTTTTTGCTGAGGAAGACTGGCCCTGAGCTAACATCCATGCCCATCTTCCTCTGCTTTATATTTGGGACGCCTACCACAGCATGGCTTGACAAGCAGTGCCATGTCCGCATCGGGGATCCGAACCAGCAAACCCCAGGCCGCCAAGAAGCGGAACGTGTGCACTTAACTGCTGTGCTACCGGGCTGGCCCCCACTTCTTGGTTTCTAAGCACAATTCTCTAATAAAAGCAACCAGGGCTCTTTGGAGACACAGATGCTTCTATGGCTGCAGCAAGCAAAGTACAAAATGAGTCTGAAGTAACGTGTAGTGCCAGAAAGCGCTAAAAAAAATAAGGGGAGCATGTCAAAGGGCACAGGAGCCAGGCTGAAAGAGCTCCCAAATGGGGGAGAAGGGGCAAACACAGAGAGTTCCTTAAGAAGAGTTCCAATTAAACAGAAGGAATGAGGGAAATGGAAAATCATCATTAGGACAACTTGGTAATACTGCTCTAGGCAAGATCCACTGATGGATGCTAAAATCAGCAGGCAAAACTTTAAGGAGAAACAGGATATTTGCATAGCTTCAAACTTTCTCCCCTAAAATATTTATTACTGTGGTAGTTTTACTATACGTCCATAAACTCTTTGGTGCTCCTCCCTCCAGGAGGTGGAGCTTAATCCCCCTCTCTTTGAGTATGGGCTGGACTTAGTAACTCACGTCTGGTGAACAGAATATGAAAAGGGAAGGAGTAATTTTAAAGTGAAGAAACCTGGCAGACACCACCTTAACCAAGCGATCAAAGTTAACATCTCCAGTAATAAATCAGGTTGATATCATGTACTCCCTGATGGGATGAGATGAGAAGGGCTCATCACCTCTGTGACAGTCTCCCCCAAAAAGCATAACCTCATGGGAAACATGAGACAAACTCAAATTGAGGGAAATCTACACTGTACCTCTCCACTACTCTTCAGTGTTAAGGTCATGAAACACAAAGAAAGATCAAGAAACTGTCATATATGGGAGGAGACCAAGGAAACATGGCAGCTAAATGCAAGGTGGTATCTCCAGTTGGATCTTGGGACAAAAAAAAAAAAAAAAAATCAATGGAAAAAATTGCAGAAATTTGAATAGAGTCTATAGTTTAGTAGTACTGTACCAATGTTAATTTCTTAGTTTTGATAAATGTACCATGGTTACATAAGATGTTAACAGTAGGGGAAGCTGGATTAAGAGCATATACAAACTCTCTGTACTATCTTCGCAACTCATTCGTAAAACTGAAATTATTTGAAAATTAAAATTTAAAAAAATATTTTGGGGCAAGCCCCACTGACCTAGTGGGTAAGTTCAGCACACTCCACTTTGGTGGCCTGGGTTCAGTTCCTGGGTGAGGACCTACACCATTCATTTGTCAGTGGCCATGCTGTGGTGGTGGCTCGCATACAAAAAGAGGAAGATTGGCAGTGGATGTTACCTCAGGGTGAAGCTTCCTCCGCAAAAAATATATAAAAATATTTTTGTCTAGTGATAATTGCTGACATGTTGTTATGAATTTGTGCTGTTTAAATAGTTTGCCACAAGGCAAGTCCAGTAAAATTACTGAGATGTTATAAAGCTTATTAGGCTATATGTTGTAATATAAAATCATACATATGAAGGGGATAAGCAATTCATTTATGTTCTTCTCCAAATATTTATCACAGAGTTCTTTTGTTCTTGATGAACAGTTAAAAATATTTTCCAAGACAGAAAGCTGAAGAAAGTGTAACACTGTCTTGTCTATCTTGTCCCTAGAATAGAGATTGACTTTCTCTCCCCTTTACCCAAGCTAATGCATCACTACAAATGGGAAGACAGGATGGTGGTTTCAAGGGATCCCTCGGCCAGGTGAAAAGAAGAATTAGTGTGTCTTTCCTCTTGCATGCCTCACCGGTCTCCCCTACACATTTAGCTCTTCTCTGGTCATCTCAGGATGTTGCAGGAAGGGTAATGGGAAGGGTGAGTTATTTCTGCAGGTGAAGGATGAGTACTTGCAAAATTAAGAAAGTAAAAGGAAGTTGAAGAGAATAGAAATTGGCCATAAATTAACTGCAAGCCTTGTAAATGGGGTACACAGTTTGAATGGGGTTCAGTTTCTTAGCAGCATGTCCAGAATTCTGTACTCTCAAGCAGCCTGATCTTTCCCCACTCCTCCCACTCTCCCAAAGCCCACGAATGACAATATGCGAGAGTTAGCATGAACAAGGTAACTATATTGCTTAAGTGTTGCTATGGGATAAACTGTGGATGTCCTGGGTGCTATCATTAGAACGGTGGGATTAAAAATGCTTGGTACATCAGCATATTATATCGGTATATCAGCATTAAGGAAGGTACCTATGGCATACTTAAATTCATGTATGGTCTCTAAAAAGTTACCTGTGTCATAGTGTATAATTGCTTTTTTATGTGGACCTAAGTATCAAGCAAAGCTTATCTAACATGACTTTAAATGTCTTGATCTTTATGTTATTCTAGTGACGTCAAGGAGAGGCCATTTTGTCTGGTGACCCTGATAGTAAGTATTCTGAAGTTTGCTTATTCAAACTTTTCAGGATATAAGGATAGGTCACGGGGTTCATCATTTACCCCTGAAGATTTCAGAAGACTTTTAAGATCTCGTGTTTCTTGCAAGACCAGAAAAAGCAAACTTAGAATTTTTATTATTGCATGTTGATACTGTACTTTTGGAATTAGAATGTCCAGGAAGCAAAATGAATTGGCAGACTCTTAAAAATGCTTTCTCATGATAAATAGCTGAAATTCTTGGTACTTAAATGTTGCAGGAATTTGGACTACAAGTGACTATTTTGCTAATTCTGTTCACTATTTTTATCTAGAAAATTTAGTATACTATAAACCTAGGTAGAAATGAGAACTATAAATACACTGCATCACCTTTGAACATAAAAAGAGTAAGATACTTATCTGGTAGTAATTGGTGGCTACGTGAAGACATGGTTGGAAATACCAATTTGTAATAAGTGATCCTTTTCGACATTATATATCTATATATGGAGGTTCATGTTACAAAATTGTTCATTTAGAAAGGCAATACAGTATAGTGGTTTAAAGACAGCATGGATTGGGAAGTCACACAGAATGGATGTGAATCCTGGTCTTAAACTTACTATCTGAATGACCTTGTATAAGTGGCTTCATCTTTCTGGGCCCATTTTCTCTTCTGTAAAATGGGGATTAAGTGAAATAATATATGTATGGTACCTAAAACACACTAAGCACTCAAAAAGGATAGCTATTATTAGAGTTCAAGAGATTAAGTGTTCACTTAGGACCATGTCTTTAATAATTTAAAAGAATTTCTTTATATCTTGTTGCCAGGAAAGGCCTTAGGTATTAACAAGTATACTTTTCTTATTTTCTAAATCATATGACTCATGGAATTATATGGTTCTAAGGCCTGATCGAGAGTCACCTAAGGAAAAAATTCCAGGGCCTACCCTAGACCTAATGAATCAAAATCTCTGGAATGTGGAGCCTAGGAATCTTTTAATTTCTTTTTAAATCTCACGTGATTCTGAAGACTATCCAAGTTTGAGAACCACTGAGGCAGAGCCTTTATGGGCAAGAAGTATATGAATGAAAACACTGGTATGTTGGGGTGGGGGGTATTAAAGGAAAGGTTATAAATGAGATTATGTACATGAAGCTTTGTAAACTATAAAACACTATAAAGGGAGGGTGCTGTGATGTAAAGAATCATAATTATGCACTGTTGGTGCTGGAGAGATCTTAGGAAATTGAGGTCCAGAGAGGTTAATGCAACTTGTTTCAAAGTTAGGTAGCAAAGCAGGCAAAACACTTTGGGTGTTGTAAAAGTGTGAAACGGTTGTTAGAATGAGGGGCGGGGGGTGTCCCATAAAACGTATGAGAGCTTGGGAAGAGACTTTATTGTGGGCTGGGAAGGTCAGGAAAGACTTCACAGGGAGATGAGAATTGAGCTGGGTCCTGAAGGATGATTAAGATTCATAGTAGTCAAACAGGGGAAGGGGGAACTGAGCAAAGACAAGGGGGAGGGATGCACAAGACAGGTTTGCGAGGGTGTAAGTTAGACCTGTGAGGCTGGAGCAGAAGATTCACAGAGAGGAGTGGTAGGGGAAAGCATGGTGGTTGGAGAAAACTCGTGGAGGGCCTTGAATACTAAACTAAGAAGTTGAGACTATGCTGTTAGCAGAGGAGATCCAAAGAATGTTTCTTAGTACATAAATAGTTGGAAGGTGAGAGTCTAAAAGCAGAGCCTTTGAATCCAAAGGGCCTATGGGCAGAGGCTAAAAGCAGGCTACTGGAATGTTCTAGGTATGAGATGATAAAGGCCTGGAACAAGTACGAGTGCAAAAAAACAGATGCTATAGGAGGAACTGACAGTTCTTGGGATCTTTGTGGGGATCAAAGGAGAGAAGAAGCAACCACTGTGAGCCTGGGGGATTGGGAGTATGATATCACCGCCAACAGAAACAGAGGCCAGGCTGGAAGAAAAGAGGTCGGTTTGAGACAGATGGTAGCACTGTCACAGTGCTCTAGAGGGAAACTTTATGCACAACTCACCTTCATGTCCTCAAAATCTGTTATCCCCATCTGAGGGAGGTTTGAACAGTTCACATAGATGAGTTTTCGGCCACTGATGAAGTTTGTGGTAAAACACTCCTGTCAGTACAATGAGAGCATCACTCAAAAGATATAAGGCAAAGAGCAAGAAGAAAAGAAAGAAAGGAAGGAAGAAAGAGAAAGGTAGGAAGGAGGGAAGGAGGGAGGGAGGGGGAGGGAAGGAGGGAGGGAGGGGGAAGGAAGAAGAAAGACAGAGAGAGAGAGAAGGGAGGGAGGGAGGGAATAAATCATGCTTGTCTCTGGTTCTATACCGAGAAAAATTTTAAATTTAACTTTAAATTACATTCAAATTTAATAATAATCCCTCATATATTCCATCTAAGCTCTTGGTTAAGTATCATGCTGCTCTGTAATTCTTTTCTTGGCATGATACTTGTGTCTCAATTACGCTTCTAAGGATGGGGGTACAAACCATTTCAGATCCCGTGTTGTTATCCAAGAACATAATTGGCATCACTGAAATAAAAGGATTCACCATATCTTTTTAATAAAACTATTTTTGATTAATTGGCTATTGAAATCAATACTGTTAGGTGCTCATGATATATAGGACATATTTGGGGGCAGACACTTAAGATTAATAGGACAAGTTCAAGTTAAGGGAGCTGCCACGAAAACAACTTGGTAAAGTACCAAAATGTCTACCTTGGACGAAATCTACTTAAAAAATAGTTTTCTATGAAAAGAAGCCTATATAAATTTCTTAGTGTTTATTCAAGGATTTCAGAGAACTATAATCACTGCAAAAAATAGGCAAAACAAACAGATGTGACCCTCCATCCCTCCTCCCAAATATAAATATACATCAGCAGAAAGGCCAAAATTAAAATCCAAGTCACCTCTAGCAGAGACCAGGATTTTCCCATACTCCTTCTGGAGAAGATGAGGTGAGAGCTCAGCGAAGGATAGAGGAATAAGAGGTAGAAGGATGAGACTATGTGATTTCAAAAAATGTTCCTTTTGTATACCTTGTATTGAGGGAAGCCTAGCTGGCTAATCCACTCTGCAACTTTCTCCGGGCTCCATTCAAGATACTCAAATTGTAGCTCAATACTTCCTTTTGGCTTGGTTTCTTTGCGTCCCAGTTTCTTCAACTCTGGGGACAAATCTACAACTTTCTTTTCACAGAAGGACTCTCTCAAATCCCTCTGAGATTCTGAGGGATCTGAATATATGTCATTGTCTGTAAGTTCAAACAGTTTCTGGGGTTCTTGAGGAAACTCATAATCTGTACTCACAGAGTCTACTTCACTTACTGCAAGAGACTCTATCACAGAGTCTTTAGCAATGTTTTTAGTTTCTTTTATGGACAACTTTCTTCTTTGATGGTCAGAGTGCTCTAGCTCGCCCTTGTCTACAGAATGCTTCCATTTGATTGGTTCTGGCCCATCTTCCTTGGAAAATTCTACATATGTCTCTCTTCTAAGTAGTGGTTTGGCTGTATCTGGTAACTCTAGATCTTTCTCTTTAGTTGTCTCTGTTTGTGTCTTCTCTTGAACCTCTGGTTTGGTCTTCTGTGGTAGCACGTGACCTGTTTCCTCCGTTGATCTTTTCGTTTTTTTCCTTGGAAACTCTGGTTTAGTCCCTTCTGGTGGCTCTAGACCTTTCTCCTCAGTTGACTCTCTCAGTGTCTTGTCTGATTTGGACTTCTGTGGTGGTGCTAGCTGCGTCTCCTCAGTTGATTTTCTCTGCTTATCTTTTTGATCTGCTGGTTTAGTGTCCTGTGGGGGCTCTAGAACTTTCTCCATATTCAACTTTCTTTGTGTCTCCTCTTGAATGTCTGCCTTGGTCTTTCCTGATGGTTCTAAACCTGTTTCCTCTGTTGGTTTTCTTGTTTTTTCCTCGGAAAACTCTGATTTTGTCTCTTCCAGTGGCTCTGGAACTTTCTTCTCAGTTGACTTTCTTCGTGTTTCCTCAGTAGACTTACTTGGTTTCCGGTCTGGAAATTCTGGTTTAGTCTGCTCAGATGGCTCTGCCCCTTTCTCCTTGGTTGATTTTCTTCGTGTCTCCTCTGGAATCTCTGCTTTAGTCTCTTCTGGAGGTGCTAGATCTGCATCCTCAGTCGACTTTCTTGGTTTCTCTTCTGGAAACCCTGGTTTGGGCTCCTCCAATGGCTCTGTCCTTTTCTCCTCAGGTGACTTTCTTTGTGTTTCCTCTGGAATCCCTAGTGTGGTCATCTTTGGTGGCTGGAGATCTGCCTCTTCAATTGATTTTCTCGGTTTCTCACTTGTAAGTTCAGGTTTGCTCTGCTCTAGAGGCTCTAGAACTACTTTTTCGTATGGCTTTATAAATGATTCCTCCAGAACTTCCGGTTTGGTCTCCTCTAGTAACTCTAATCTTGTCTCACTGAGTGTGGCCCCTGGAACCCCAGACTCGGTTTCCTTTGGTGGCTGTAGATCTATTTCCTTAGCTGACCCTATGAGTACATCCTCTGTTAGATCTGCTTTAGCACCCTCCGGTGGCTCTAGGTCTGGCTCCTCACGCTTTTCATCCATAGGGACCTCCAAATCCTTGAAAAGCTCTTCTCCCATCTCTCTGGATGTCTCCGACTTTACCTCTTGGGGAAGCCCTGGCTCAATCTCACTAGAAAGGACTATCTCCGATTCCTTGGGAATCTCTTCCTCCGGGGTCCCGGGTGGTCTTGGTTGTGAGCGCACACTCTTAGCACTCTTTAGCGCCTCCTCTTGGAAGTTCTCTTCCTCCGTCCCTGGCTGTGGCTCCTGGTCAGGTTCTTCAGGCAGCTTCGGGCCTGCCTCTGCCGCGCTGTCTGGTTCGGCATCCTCAGCCATTTTGAAAGACCCGGGCAGTTCTGGTCCCTCAAACTCCAGGTCTTCACCTGCATCCGGCTCGGAATCGTAGTCCTCAGGGACTTCGGCCATGATGTTGGCTGGCCGACGCGCCAAGGCCTCCTAGCAACCCCAACTTCCGATAGCGTCTCTATGGAGACCACGATTTCCGGCCGGGTCTTCCGGCACTTTCTCCGGTTTTGTTTGTTCTTTCAAGCTCCGACTTTAAAAACCCGTGAGCAGAAGCACGCGGTAACCGTCCCCGCGCCCGGGCGCCAGCCTCCGCCGGCCGGGGCTCCCGCGACCGCTCGGGCCTGCCGCTGCCCCTTCCGGCCCGCGGGCTCCGCTCGGCTCTGCCCGGCGCGCCGCCGCCGCGCTCGCCCGCCCTTCGGCTGTTTCCGGAGCCGCTCGCGGCTGGCGGCGGAGGCTCTCCCGGCGCGGGCTGCAGATGTCGGAGCGGCGGTTGGCCGAGAGGCCGGGCCCCTGGAGCCCCGCAGTGGGCCGAGGGCCGGCGGGCGGCGGCGGGGACGGCCCGGGCGTGGAGGGGAGCCAGGCGGCCGCCTCAGGTACGCAAGGCCGGGGCGCCGGCGGGTGGGTGCCGCCCGGCCTCGGGGTCCCGCTCGCGGCGCGGGGCTCGGCCGCGCTCTGCCCGCAGCCCCGGCGGAGCGGCCCCTCCTGGGCAGCCCCTGCGCGCGCCGAGCCCCTGCCTTCGCTCCCCTCGGCCGCGACCCCTGCCCTCCCGGGGCCCTGGGCTTCGCTCGAGGTCACAGTCTGCTCCGGTTTCGAAATGCCTTGGTTCCTGCCCCGCTTCCTTTCTCATGTCGGCCCAAACGGTGGCGAGTGCGCCGCTCTGCCCCTGCGCTGCCTCGGCTCCAGCACGCCCGCCCTTCGCTCCTGGGCGGCCGGCCCAACCCCTGTGCCTCGGGGCCCCCCGCTTCGGGCTCCTCACCCCCATCCCCACGTGTGTCCACGGCCCCAGCCTGTACATGCGCCTCTCTGGCTCCATCCGGGGAGGCAGCCTCGCCTCCCTCTGTATAGACCCCCCGTCTGCTCCAGCCTCCCTGCACGCAGGCCCCCTTGCCTCGCCTCCATCCTCTTCCTCGCTGAGAGTGGGAGGGAGGAAAAGCAGAGCTGGAATAGGTCAGCCCTGGGGTCTTTTGCATGAACATAGTGGTCAGAGCAAAGGCAGGAAGTAGGGGCTGAAATAGGAACTTTGGCGACCTCTCTGCTTCTGCAGGACCCGCCTCTTGTTCAGGATACTGTCTCCGTTTTTACCCACGCAAGTGCCTCCGTGTGGATTGCTTCAGTGTCAGGGTCCAGAGGCTGCAGGGTCCATGTGTCACACTTTGACCTTTCAGACTTCCATATGGATCACCACATGGATCACCACACACGATGCCCTAAAAGGATGCCCTTTTGAAATACAAAAGGGTAGGGAGAGAGAACTGGTCTCGCTAAATAGCAAGCATAAATTAGTTTTCCAGGTCTGAAATTAAAAGACACCATAAAGTATAGCTGTAGACGTGGGGCCATGGCGCCTGGGTTGGAGTCTGAACGTCAGTTTACTAATTAAGTGACCTTGGGCGAGTCATTTAACTTCTGTCTGTTTTCTCATCTGTAAAAAGTGGTTGGTAATAGGACCTGCCCGGTCAGATTGCAGGAAGGATTCCCTGAGCCACTCGCTGTCTGAGGCACTTGGTGCCTAGCCCAGGGTGCATGCTGTACTGGTGTTATCCACTATTATGAGAATAAGGTCTATTTTTGCTCACCCGGACTCCCTGTGCTGGCAGAGGAGGTGTTCTTGCATGTGCATCCTCCTGCACAGTGACTTTCCCTGTCTTAACTTCTGTCCCAAGCGTCTCCCATCTCCTGATGCTGCTTCGTCAAACACCTGCCCGCCCACCTTTGAATCTCTTGGCTTTTTCTTGTCTTTATGTTCTCTTACTTTAAAACATTTACCAATTTTTGTCCTTTTTTCTTATGAACTCTTATACTTTGTAGTAAATTAAAAATTGATGGTATGCATTTAGCATTATAGCGATAGAAATTGTAAGCATAATTTCTAAAAGATTAAGCAAATGAAAACTCAGAAAGTCTCATAAACATCTGTTCCTTGCATGTGTCAATATTTATAAATTAAAGAGTTTTTTTTTTTTACTTCTTTAGATCCTTGTTTGCTTATGGCGGACATACTCAAGCATTTAAAATAAAAAAGCCTTGAGAATAGTCCAGCATATGTTGGAGGGGAGTGGGATTGTCTCTGAGTGTGTCTGTTCCCCTCCCCGATTCTGACTGGTTCCTGCGTTCACTTTTTCTCCTCAGGATATTGATAGAAATACTATGGTTACTTTCTTCCTCTTGCCCTTAGAAAGCAGGGTGAGTGTTGATTTCTTTTTATGTCATATAGGGGTTTGTTATTGTAGCCCAGAGCAAGCTCTTCCCCTTGAGGTACAATTTGTTGCTAATAAAATAGCCAATAAAATAGTAGTAATGATAGCTCATGTTAATTGAAGGCTTACTCTGTGCAGAGTGTGGAAATTTACTTGTATTGTCTGACTTGATCCTGTCAACAGTCATTTCTTCCCATTTTACAGAAGAACACACTACAGCCAGCCGAGAGAGCTTAATTTATTTGCCCAGCTTAGCTGTGGAGTTCTTACTGTCTATTTGAAATTGTCACCTTGCTGGGATGAAGTTTACAATTGTTTATTTTTATTGGCCATTAATCGAGCATTGGTACTCCAGGGCAGGCGATGGTCTTCGCCCTCAAGGGGTTTTTAATTTGGTGAGATGGGAATACCACAGGAACAAAAATCAGCAGTTCAAAACATTATATAATTGGGTGTCTTTTATTACAGTTCTTTATGTACTTAGCCCCAAGAAACCTCCTTGAGGGTAGGAACAGAATCTGTCTTGTCTGTTTATCTCCTAGAGCCCTTGATGTTGTGTTGTGGAGGTTCTGTAAATATTTGCTGGATTGTGAGACCAAGTCTCAACACAGAGACGTGGAGGAGCATCAGATGAACATGAGGAACTAGGGTTGAGATGATCAAGAATGTTCTTTGGGTTAACGCTGTGGTTCTCAACAGGGAGCGATTTTGCCTCCCCCAGGGGACATTTTGGTTGTCACAGCTCCGGCGGGGGTGGGCGGGGAGAAGGGGGGTGCTATTCCTGACATCTAGTGGGTAAAGGCCAGGGATGCTGCTAAACGTCCTGCAGTGCGCAGGATGGCCCCACAGTGAAGAATTATCTGGTCCCAAATGGCAGTCGTGCTGCTGTTGAGAGACCTTGAGTTAGAGTCTGGCGGGGTTTCCAAAGCAGAGTGGAAGTCGTGCATTTGGCTTGGCCCAGAGTTGTCTAGGCTTGGGAGTAAACTCAAAAAACTGCTTCAAATTAGGAGTTTGGTTGATTGGATCCTTCTGCCTCCTTCCTCTAGAAAATGATGCAATGAGTGAGCATTAGAGGCCTAAGACAGAATGAAATTAGAAGAGGTTTTGATCATCCTCTCTTAGAGGGAAGACAGTAATAAGAAATGGGGTTGGCCATTCAGTTGTTGTTGAGTTAAGGGGTTTGATTTTTCAGTGTATCTTATTCTTTCAAAGCAGGAATTTGTAATTGTCCAGAATAACCATAACTTGTTTTTTAAAAATATTCTCTGCAGAGAACACCTTTTGAGAGTCTTCATGTTTGTTACTTGAGGTTTTGGTGATAAAGTAAGAAAAGTGTGTATGTTCTTTTGAACTAAGCTCTCCAGTGGTCATAGTGTTCTTAGTGTTTTATGAACTGTAATTGTTTTTAATAGTCTTACTTGGGGCACCTGGGTCCTTCAGTCCCCATGAGATAGTGCTCTTTATATAGTGAAACTCTTGAGGGATACATGTTGCATCACTTAAAAGCAGGGCTTTTTTTTTTTTTTTTTTGAAGTTTAGGGAGCTTTGGGGAAAATAAAGGGCAACGTCTGTTACGGCTCTGAAGTCAGCAGAGCTTGGTTTGGTGTAGATGACCCTGAGAGCTATCCATGCATTGAGACGTTAAGGACTAGAAACAGGTCAGGTGAATTTGCTCATGATTCTTACGTAGGACTTAGAGCAGTGCAATAAGTTTTTCTGCAGTGATGGAAATGTTGCATATCTGTGACTATTTCAATTTAAATTAAAACTTAAAAATTGGGGGTTACCATATTGGAACAAAAGAGTGGAAGTCTGTGCCAAGAGCCCTTATGTTTTTGGTTTTCCATGTAGTTTTATGTCACAATGGTATAAATCTGTCTGCCTGTGGTTATTTTTTTCTTCCTGTGGTTGTGTTTTTATGGTGTTGAGATAGCCAGTTAGTCCTGAAATAGCCAGTTACTCCTGAGATAGCCAGTTAGTCCTCTGATAATTCAAACCATAATAGTACAACCCAAGGTTTCTAATTTGAATGACCACTTAGGAGCATGTCCACTCATAGGAGCTGAGAAGAAATTGGATCACCTGGTCTCTGGATAAGGTTGGAATATAAACTTAGCCAGTTTCTTTTTAAGCCTCTTGAGCCTGTGACCACATAACTTCCTTTTGGTTCCTCTGCTCTTGAATCTGTAAGGCCAGGCTAATTATCTCTTTGCAGCCTGTTTAGTGAAGGGGAAGTCCCATGAGATCTGTTCTAGAGAACTCTGACCTGATATTCAAATACTTAGAAAAAACCTGCTTTTTGATTCTCTTTGTACAGAAAGTACAAAATTCATAGTCAATTTAAACTGTAGCGTGATTAGAATGTCTGAAACTGTATTCTGGTAACACAGAAAGAAAACTTCATATTTAAAAAATTGTTAAATACAAATAAGCCATTTTAAGAAAGTTTCTTTTCTTCCCCTTCACCTTTGCTTTAGAGGCCATCAATTATAAATTGAGTTCTTCTGCTTTTTTTTTTTTTTTTTTTGAGGAAGATTAGCCCTGAGCTAACTGCTGCCAGTCCTCCTCTTTTCTCTGAGGAAGCCTGGCCCTGAGCTAACATCCGTGCCCATCTTCCTCTACTTTATATGTGGGATGCCTACCACAGCATGGCTTGCCAAGTTGTGCCATGTCGGCACCCGGGATCCGAACTGGCGAACCTCGGGCCGCTGAAGCAGAACGTGCGAATTTAACTGCTGCACCACTGGGCCGGCCCCATAAATTGAGTTATTCTTGAGCTTCCATTTTCTCTTCTCCATTCATTGTTTCAAGACTGGCCATTCAGGTACCACAGTCATGATTTTTGCCACGTTAGAGAATACATTCCAGTATTATTTGGTTATTGTATTTTCTTTAAATTGACATTTAAAATTTTGATTCATTCTAAATAGTATCCATGATATTACTAGTTTGATATATCAGTTTTTCCTTATACATGTTAAAATAAATACACACCAATGCTGTGGCATCATGCCATGCTGTGATGGCGTCCCACATACTAGGTGGAGGAAGACTGGTATGGATATTAGCTCAGGAACAATCTTCCTCAAGCAAAAAGAGGAAGATTGGCAACAGATGTTAGCTCAGGGCCAATCAGTCTCACCAAAAAAAACACCAAAAAACACCCATACCCATAA